TGAGGAAAGTGGTTCCGCCGTACTGACGACGCGATAATACGTACGTCTGTTGCCGTTGCCTTTTTTAATTTAGCGTGCCGATGACCCTTGCCTCGCCGAAGACAAAAATATGTACGATTCATGAATATTCAAGTGAAAGAGTCTCGAGGTAATTGAATTCGCAAAGATTTACCGCAGAGGATGAAACCATAGCAGGGTTGTTGCGTAATTTTGTTTGATTTTGGCTTCGTGTGCGAGGGGCTCAATTTATTATGCAAATACGAGTGCCAGGCTCTGTTGACTGTGCTATACGTTGCATCTCGCAATAATTGAGAAAAGCCATTTTTTGTTTCTAACGATGATGCGATTGCGTGACGTAAATCATTGCACGTGTGTTTGTACATATTTTTTTTTTTTTTACTTGTGATTATATTTCTTTTTTTTATTTTTTTATATATATTATAGTGCTCTATGTCCGTCTCCTTTAATAAGGGCACTACTATGGGCACTTAGCACTTNTATAACTTTTTTTTTTTATATATTATAGTGCTCTATGTCCGTCTCCTTTAATAAGGGCACTACTATGGGCACTTAGCACTTGGGAAAGGGACAAGGAAAGGGATGGGAGGCCCCCCCATTACTGGGAGGTGGGGTAGGGGGATTAGTCAATTTTGCTACGAGAAGGTCGCCTAAACACCCTCCTCGAGGAGCATTGCGTGGTGATAAAGCACATGTGAGACTCACAGAGGTACTTGCCCGAAAGTCGCACTGGCCGGGAATCGCGAACCACGGTTTCCCCCGCGTGCCAATCCACGACCTAGCCGACCGAGCCACCGCGCGCTCTATCCATTATTCTATGTCGATGTGTCTCTTACCTTTTCTTTTTATTATTGTACTTTAAAAATACTTTCGAATTGTCCTTTGATTTTTAAGTCTAGGTATATTAGAAGGTACCACTTGGAAAAAAAAAAAAAAAAAAAATACGTCACGTAATGTATTGAACTTGACTGATACTCGGTTGAGATAAAAAAAAAGTCACCAAGACAAATCGGTTACCTTTCGATGACTCAAGACGCTACTTAATATTTATCCTCTTTGTTTCCCGTAGAGTGAGCCCATTGAAAATTATTACGGTCGTCTAAACACCAAAGAATCTCTAGACGTCACAAAAACGTGGTAACATATCAATTAGCACGAGGAACCCTCGTCATTCATCGTCCATTGACGTTATTCAACGCGCGTAATACTTTTCTCAGCTATAACTGTAAACGAAAGACATAAGCCTACAAATACTACCGTATGGGTACTTATACTGTTTCATAACGACTCAACGCCGCACCATATGTATACACTTTAATCGCGAACGGAACAACATTTCAAATCAAACAAACAGACCGAAGCGGCACGTCTGGCGGTGTAGGTGTCGAAAAGTACACGATTTCCGGGAAAGCATAACGTAAGCCTATAGGGCGCTTGAAACAAAAATGAAGGAGGAAAGAAACGTGCAATAATTTCAAATCAGCCGTATATACCTACGCGTATGTGATTGCCTGTTGTAGAGATACGCGGATGAACTCGCGTGGGGTCGTTGCCTTTGGCGGAGCGTGCGAGACGTGCCGAACCGAGCATGGGTCGACCGGCCAAGCCGGTTTGCCCGTATGCGATTTGCATTGAAGAGACTCGATTCGTCTCGTGAAAAAGATGCCAACCATCGTGAGGTAAATTAATATACATATTGTCCAAGTGGTCGGTGAATCGTGTACGAAATCCCGCAGGTATAGCAAAGAGACGCTTTTCAATTGAACGATTTGTGAAACATGTACGAATGGAGCATCTTGGTAGGTATAAACGAGCGCGCACTTGTGTGGCCGAGAGGGAAGGAGCAAACGAGCCTTGAATGTGACGCTAATCACTTATAATTTCATGTAATTTCCAGCCGATTGTGCAAGGTTTGGTGAAAAAAAAAATAATAATAATTTTCCTACTTCGTCCCTGTGCTATATTGTGGAACTTTCCTCTTCGTTTCTTGGCTCGTGTACCACTGACTATACATGGACGCGTACCTTATACTTGCGATGAACTTGACTGAGTGATGTATTACAGTGATTTGTAAAAACAAAATGCAAAGGTGAACTCGTGTAAAAGAGAGGAAAATGTTCGATCAGAAATGGCCGTGTTTTTGAGGACAGAGGGGTAAGAGAGAAAATGCAAATTTCAGCGAGTGAGGAAATATTAAACTTTTTCTTGCGTCCCGAGTCGCAGTGCGCGATACCATCAAGACGAGTTGCGGCTTAAGCACACGCAAAGAGAAAAAAAAAAAAAAAAAAAAAATTATCCTCGTTTTTGCCAGACTTTCTCCAACAGAAAAAGCAACGAGCCGGTATAGTCTAGAAAAATAAACCTACTTCACAAAGGCAGCAACGGCCGCATCCAAAATATCGGCTCCAAGCGCTTTCTTTTCTCGTGGTTGCGGGCTGCATCGGTCGAGATGACCAGCCATCTTCATCACCCCAAACGTGACAAATTGCAACGAAACGCAGATTGCGCGTACGCGTACAAGTGCATATGTATATATACATACAGGCACCTGCTCGTCTCCGTTTCTCCGGGCGCGTGAAAGTAGGATGCAGCTGAAGCGTGCACGGCTCTCGTACCAAAAGGCATTGCGCCACGGTTGGAGAGACGAACCTTCATCTGAGTGTTTCGCGATGCGAGCCGTTCCTCCACATCGCGATGATTTTGAGCTTCTTTTTTTCTTTGTTTGTTTTATAGCCGAATCTCTTTCCAACCGGTTGCTGAATATCGTTACATCCATCATCGAGTGTAAACAAAATATGCGAAGGACAAAAAGAAGGATTGTTTTTTTTTTTTTTTTTTTCTGGCAGTCCATTGAAATCGATACGCGAGTACATTTTGGTCGGAGTGATTGGACGAGCCATGAATATTTACGGACGAATCTATAATGACCAAAGCATTTTGGAGATGATTCGCGGAGGTCGTACAGGTACTTTCAAATGGGAGGCCTTTTTTTTATTTAGGCATGACGCGATTGGTTCGAGTTGGCCTTGCATTGAATGGTTTCGAAACTATCGGTGGGTACGATCGTGCTTTGGTGGTTAAAATATTTATCTTCAAATTGGATGCCTATATATACTATACAAAAGTAATTTTAAAACAATCTTACGATGAAACTTTTTTCTATAATAAAATACTGAAAAAAAAAAAAGGATATAGACATGCCCCAGTTGAAAGTAATCTAGAAACTCATTTGACACGAGTTATAAATGATAAATGACACGCACTCCAATTTCAATGCACAATGAGACGAAAAAATAGCCGTACGGGCAAAAGAGGAGAAAAAAAAAAAATCACCACTCGAGCTCGCATTGACAACCTTCGGGAGTAAAAAAGTTGTATTGCGTGCGTTAAAGTACCTGCGCGTGCGACTTGACACGTCTCGTCTAGCGCCTTTCCTCGCTCGATTGAGCCCCCCCTCTCGCGCTGGTATCTCTTGGCCAATCATTTTTTGCTATTAAAAGCGAGTTACCATTTTTTGCGCACTTACTCGCGGTCCATTCACAACGGCGGTACTACCAGTCTTTTCTCCAATTATTGTTGATCGGGACAACCATCGTGCGACCTAATGGTAATGAAATCATCTTCAACACTTTATGCACAGGTATTCTCTCGTTAGCATGTGTTGTGACCTTGAGAGACACCCAAGAGGCTGAAGGAGTCGTTGAAATCGAAAAAAACACTTGTAGCGACAAAGATCAGTCAAAGACCGGGTTGTCTTTTGTCGTGAGAAAAAAAAGAGAGTAGAGCGGTGCACGGAAGGACGAACCCATCAACACTTTTTCGTCGTGTGGTGGGAGAATATTTTACAAATGACCTGCTTTTATTACCTGTTTTGAACATCTACGTAATCGCCTTTTCAAATAGCTGAGATAAATGCTGTGGTCATTTGCACTTTGTTGCGTCTAGATGCATGGGTTTGTTTTTTTTTTCTTCTTCGTTTTAAGAGCATGGCTCTTGTCAATTTTTTCATGGGACTTTGTTTCTTTTTTTTTTTTAATTTGAACACATTTGTTTACTTTTTTTCAACCAACTCTTGGCCTCGCAACAGGATAAATGTGAACCGCCAAGTGAAACATACAATTTGACGCAAAAAAAAAATAATGAGTACTCACTTCGAATGGTATGTCACAAAGATTGAAAAAAGAGAGCAAAATGCTAAGACAAAAAAAATGCTAGCGCTATATTTTATAATTTTTTACGTCATTGTATTTTAATTCTCAAAGAGTTTTTCAAATTTATTAAAAGAATGTTTTTTACGTAGCTCGTAATTAAAGTTTCCGATTTTATAATTTTTGAAATAATTTGCAGGTATAGTTTCGTCATAAACGTCAAAAAAAAAAAAAAATTCCTTGAAAATAATCAAAAGTTAACGCCAATACATTCAAAAAACAATAGACATACAAATAAGTATAAAATAAAAATTTATTTTTCGACCTGACGCAATTCTTTGAAAAAAAAAAAAACCCAAATCGTTGCGAACAAACACAAAAATATACCATCTTGTCTTTCGAACCTCACCTGATCAATTCATGTCCATCCGCATAAGTTGTCATTGTCACGTCAAAAAAATACTTAAAACTCATCGTACGACAGGGCGACAACAAAAATCTTGATTTGAGTTTTTCAAGCCCGGGACCAAACAACAACCGAAACGATCAAACAAACACGAACACAAAAATGCCCGAAATCGGCGGTCATGCTGCGAACATTGCACGTGTCGTCATCAGGACTATCGGAAGAAACTTGTACGTATATACTTATACATCAAAAGGCAAACGACAGGATACACGTCATAAGAAACATCAGCCATCACGTAGCAGGGACTACAACATATAGGTATCAGCTCAACGGCAACAGGAAAGCCATGGCAAGAGAAGAGAGAGGGAATCTCACCGATCGCACAGCCGCAGCGCGACTCGACCCTGCAGTCGTTCGCCGGCGACTAAACTTTCGCACGCGTCCGTAAAACAAGCCAAGTAAACATTAAGTTTCGTGACCATTGCCGATACTCGTGATAGTTTACCTACTTTCAGTTAATCATATATTTATTTATGTATGCCAATGATGGATTGGTGAAGAGGATAGGAAATAGCTGGGATCCTTGGTCCTGCCGAAGCTGCTCGTGCAAAAATCACGCGGTTCATTGGTCGAGATAGTTGTTACATTTCCTCGAGTGAAGTTTGAGTTTTTGGTTCTTCGTTGCTGTGGTTCATGGCAGAGTAGGTTGGTTTTTGTCAGTGTTTGCGCGAGTGTTTGGGAAGTAAAAAAAAAAAAAAAAAAAAAAAAGAAGCTGCAAAAATGTCGGACAGCACGATGGAGAAGAACATGATAAACATCAGCATGGGAAACAGGATCAGCAGGTCGAGCAGTTCGATCATCATCAGTAATAATAACAACAACAACAACATCAACAACAACAATAATAACAAAAACCGAGTGAGTTTTGAGTTTTGGGTTCTAATTTAAGAAATTTGCGTCAATTGATTTTCAATGATACGGTTTTTTTTTTTAATTTGATTTTTAAGATTATGCAAGGGTATTGGTTGACACGACTGTTCACAAAAATATCTAACGATGACAGATCAATTTTCATTAGTATGAACAAAGTTTAATGTTTAGCTAAAACCACACGAGCAAAAACTACGTCAAAGGGTAATTGAAAATCTTGGGCAAGCTTTGGTAAATCGTCGTCATTGTGCTCTTGAAAGATATTGGTTTTCGTAATTATTGACGTAAAGTCGCTTTTACTAGTGTTTCCATAATTTAACATCCATAATGAACGAGGTAATAGGACACGCAACGATGCTTCTCGTCAAGCGTTCATTGAAGGTGAGTCCAGGCTTGGGCACAATTGTTTCATGGATTTTTTTATACTCAAAAGAAATATATTTTTCTTTTAACGAAGAGCTGAGGTATTTTTGGCTAAAAAAACATTTCATCAGTATTCACAACGCATTAATAAAGGAAACATTTTTTCCAACAGCAGAGGGCAATACGCTTTTGGTACAAAACTTTATTGTATGGTATATTTTAAAAAAATACTTAAAAAATTTTTTAAATACTTTGAATATATTTATTTTTTTTTTTAATATTTTTAATTGTAATTTACTATTTTTGCTCCAAAACTATACAAGACAGTTATCACGATCACCGAATCCATCGACCCGAGCTCCAAACACGAAACTTAAGCCTTCAATTTTTCCTACGTAAGTCTTGAAAAAGAAAAAAAAAAATGGACAAACGACCGCACGACTGTGGTTAAACAAATTTATGAAAAATTTTTCCGCAAATAACGCAACACGAACACACATATACATCGTATAAACACGCGCACGCTCAGCCGGCCAGATTTCTCAAGAGCAGTGGCCGGAGCGCACTGTAATGTTCGCCAAGGTAATTACAGAAGCGCGACAAAACCGGTGATTCTTTGCCGTCCCTACACGCGTATCAGGACCCGATTCGGAAAGGCATTGAGACTTTTTTTAATATCAAAATTAATACACTTTGTATTTCGACGATGATATGAGTACATTATACACGTACACATTACCAAAGGGTGAGTTGCGACATTTTTAGATAGTTTTTCGTGCAGCTTGTTTTCCAACCTCCAGAAGGTCAGTGTTTTGCAAGGTATATTTGCATACGAAACCACGTATTTTATTAACACACGCGAATCAACACATTTACTCGAAATACCTAGAAATGAAGAAACGCAATGGGGAAGGGGGAAAAAAATGGTCACGGTATGAACGTTTTTGCGCAGCATCATAATTTGTAATGGCACGTGCAAAGTCAAAGTTCATCGTCACCCCGACCGGACAGTAACAACCACCTGGCTACGCTATTCCGCGAAGCATTTTTTTTTTGTATACCCATCCTCCTGTTACTAAAGCAAAAAATAAATTTAAAAAACCCAAGTTTTTCTGCTACACGCGGACCGAAGAGAGAAAAAACATTCCCACTCACTTCCGGAAGATCAAGGGGATTGTTCAAACGTTACCGCCACTCGGTCACGAGAAAACTCGCTACCCCTGCTCGGTACAGGGAGAGGGTGCCAGCTTCGCCGCGGGGCAGCAGCACCGCAGCCCCTATTGATTTCGGCATCACCCCACTCTGAGATAACCGGAGGGTGAAAAGCACCCCCTCCAAGCCAGGTCAGGGAAAGGTGCGTACCACAGCAGTGGCCGACCATCCCTTGCGGTGTTGGTATGTTTGCTCGTTTAGCCATACAAGTCATAAAAACGGTACGATGGTGAAATGAAAATCTAGGATATAACAACAATAGTACAATAATCGGAAGGGAGACGAAAATAGAGAGTATCTTCGCGCAAGGGCGAGCGAGTGTGTTTTGTTGACGTTACGTTCCGAGAGCTCGACTCCTCCCTCTATCGAGGGCCCCCGTGCACATCTGGAGTACTCTCGTGCGAGATGACGAGGACGCAGCAGCAGACGGAGGAGTCGAGGAAACGGGGAAACAGGACGTCGTCGCTGATCGTTAGTTGAACGGGGTCAGGGTGAAGCAGTGGAAAAAACAGTATACATACAATAAGAACGCAAGGAGGGAGGAGGGGCCACCTAGTTGTGCGATAATAATAGCGTCGTTTGCAACGAGGAGGCTAAGGCGCGTCCTGCGGTGGTCATGCACGCGCGTAGCTTACCAGGTCGCTGTCCTCGGGGTAAGTGTGCTTTATAGAAGGTGCTTTCTACGCGTCTGCACCTGTGTCATTGTTCCTCCCTCTTTTTTTTTTTTTTTTTTACCTTCGAGTTGTGTCAGAGTAATAGTCCCTCAAGGTACAGGCGGATGTTGTTCGCTTGGCGTGACGGCGATATCCTCGCGTTGTCGCTCGTTTGGGCGGGAGAGTTCGCGGAGAAAGTTGGGGGACGAGGCGGGCACACGCTAGTTTTCTTCGATGATGTTTTTTTTTTTTTTTTTTTTTTTTTTTTTTTTTTTTCATATACATGAATGTGCGAGGGAATGACCCAAAAGTTTGTACTTGGCCGAAGTGGTGGGAATTGAGTGATTTTAGATTGGCCAAGAGTGTTTTTCCAAAAAGTAAGGAAGATCACGGGGCTGGTACAGCGCTTTGATTTTTTTTTTTTTTTTTTTTCACGCGGGTATTGTCAAAAGTTAGATCCAACGTCTCGTGCGCGCGTTGGCTCGTCGAAGGGCACGTGAAATTTGTCGAGGATATTGATTTTCCGGAAAGTTCGAAATAAACTGTTCCACTTTGGCCGTACAGTCCGGGCTTTTGACGAAGATTTCAAGGATTTTTTTCCTTTCCTGCTCATCGTGGCTCGAGTAGTCAGCGGTGCTTTTCATATGTGGCTGGAAATGACAGCAAAAAAAAAAAACATCCAAAGTGCTGGATTATTGAGCAACACTTTTGTGGGGAAGAGTTTTCAATAACTTGGTTTACAGACGAAGACTTTTCAAATTAAATATTAACGATAGCTTATTGCAGCACATGCGTGTTTATGTCCCGTAAAATCAAGCTACAACACTTTAACTGTATTAAACGATGAGCGTTAAAAGACAACCTTCGGTAAAAATTTGAGCGTAAAAACTATGAGCATTTTAGCGGAAAAAGATTAACAAAAAGTAAAATTTAATTAATAAAAAAAAGAACGTATAAAAGTAATGCGTTTGAGTATTTTTTAACGTAACCAAAGGCACAGGATAAATTTAACTGATTCTTTTTCAATACTTGAATTATCTTCGAAAAAATATTCGTTCATTTTATAGGATTTTGGAGTAAAAAAAAGGTAAAACTAAATAAAAAATAAACCCAACTTCACTAAATGAGAGTCAGTAATATCACAAAGATCAGTCTTCAAACGCAAGTTACCGCATAAAACCCATATTTTAAATATAACGCGGCGCATTTACATTAATCACACTCATACATATATATGTATACATACACGTTTTCCCACAAGTCGTTATACGCGCCACGAGACTTGGATTACAAAATCTCGCTGTCGAGTAGGTATTTATTTACATAAAGACAAAGCGTCCTGAAAAAACCTTTCAAATTCGAAAGCACATTGTGCCCACTTTTTGAAAAATGTTCAATGCACCGTGGAAAAATAGTTTGACGTCTTTTTTCGATAGGACAAAACGTGAGAGACAAACGGCTTTTTTTCCATCATTCAGAGACGCGAAAATTGGTAAATACGCTATAGCTGCATCTCGACGATACTTACTCGCGAGAAGGAGACTTTCTCTTCCTGCACCTTCCGATTCGAAGTCGGTCGATCGCCTCTCACGTATACTTACACCAGAGCTGCAGGCGCCATGATCTCCGCGCTGCGTGAGATGCAAGTATAGCAAAGTATAGTACAGTATTCCGGGTCAGATTGCCAAATGAAAAAGACATCTGAAAGTACTTGCTCGTCACCACGTCGATGCATTTTACTTTGTATAACGTGATTTTTTCCATCCCGCATTTTACGGTTTGATATTTTTATCGCGTGCTACTTAAACAACTTTCAATGGTTTACATTTCGTATTACAAATTCAAATGTTATTCAAGTTGATGGTGTTTAAATCATGTATTATTGACAGACGACGCGACTATGAAGGAATTCATGGCACATGCAAGTAAATGATTGGTTTTTTGCGCATAAATAGTTCAATGTTTTTGATATAGCTAACGCGAGAACAAGTCAAGTGTGCAGCCATTGCAAAAGAACTGGAAGCAACTTGGATTGATGAACGAGGAAAGTTTCATTTTTCATGCGCGATCCTAATGCAAATGACGATGTTGATTTTTATTTTGGTTCTTGGTCAAGGAATGCGACATTGATTTTTCTTTTTATAGAATTTATCCTATTACCTTTGCTGGCTATTTTTTCTTTTTTTGTTAATCTCGACTTGCTGCATTCCATTAAAAAATCAAAGATTCGCTTAAACGTGGTTACTTACATATTACTAATCATTCCTGATGGTTATTACATGTGTTTAAAATCCAAAATCAACAGTTTACTCGCTAAAAACAAAGTTAGTAAAATTAAGAACCTTTCAGAAGACATGTGCGTAATTTTTTGTATGAAAAAGTTATATTATTATGAAACCTACAAGTTTTATGTTAAATGTGTTGTCCTGGGGTGTCAACTAATAAATTCATTCTGATTTAAAACGACTTTTATCATTGACAGTGTTAAAATGACGTTGTAGAAGAAATGTAGAATACGGAAAATATACAGGATATAATTTTTTCGATATTAAGTATGACAAAATTTCTTAAGAAAATGCACGGAGCACAAAAATAAATATACGTTTCAATGACATCCACAATTTCTTCTCGGAACACACATGCATAAAAAGTTAAGTAAGGTGTCAGGTTATAACAAAAACCCGATTTTTTCCATACCTCTGTTATAAAAATACTGGTAATTAATTTTTTCTGTGTAAACGTGCATCATTGCGTTATTATAAAAATAAAAAATAATAAATTATTATGGCCTCGTAAAGAAAATAAATTTCATTTTTTAACAACTCAATTCAATTTCCCCCATTTTTTATAGTGTCAATGAACCTTGACGTGCAACAACGACCAACATATATTATGTATGGACGTACAATATGACTCCTTCCAACGAATTCTAAGAATCTCAAGAGAAAAAAAAAAAATTTAGATTCTAAAATATTTATGATCTATCAATATAGTTTGGTCTTGTTACGTACGAGGACGTACCAAAATCTATCGATTCCACAAGTGCTTGCTTAATACCCTTTAGCCTCTAATATAATTTAACTATTTACAATTCATCGTATCAGTTATAGGTCAAGTTCAAGTGATAATTTATGGATCATACAGTGGATGATGAGCTGGTCATACAAAAACCAATTTTTTTTTTTTTTTTTTCAATCAAAACTCAGAAATAAAAAGCAATGAAGGACCAGTTTTAGAGTAGAAGTATCTTAATTTTATATTCTTACCTTCGATTCATACAATGTTTATTCATGATAGAATTAAGCAGTATGATTTTTTTTCAATGACTTTAAACGGTACCTTACATTAAAAGTCAGAGCATGTATCTTTATTTCTAACAATTCAACAATTTATTCTCGTCACACACTGGATTACTTAAGATTGCTCATAACGAGATACAAAAAAATCTGTACATGATAACTTGAGTTTTTTTTTTTTTTTACAGAAATTAAGTTTTTATTTTATTAAATTTTGAACTTGCTTCTCAAGATCAATCAGGAATCTGAAACAAAAAAATTTATTAAAAGTATATTCCCATACTTAATTACTAATTACTTAATTCTGCAGAAGTTTGTCACTTTCACCATTCAGAGTTATTAACCTAGTGCGGTATTTTTTCATGATTAAATTGTTTTTGAAGTCAGGAAAACTTTTAGTCGGTAGCGGCACAAAATTAAAAAAAAAATCAATGTTTGCAGAGTTACTAATATTACAAAAAGATTGTATTAAAAACATTAAATCCTGACAAATTTCAGTATACTTAATCAAGTGACAAAAGTATAAACAATTATCACACTAATTTCTAATTTTATTGGGTAAAGCACTTTAACACAGTTAAAAGAAATAATTTCTGTTCGCGTTGGAATTGGATGATTTTTTTTTGTAATTTATGGTACGATTAAATAAATTGGTATTTAATTGTTCTATGGTAACAATTAAAAACGCAAGAAAAATTTTATAATTTGAAACTGTGTGTCCACATTGTATTTCAAAAAATTTAAGAATATACTTATATTGCTACATTTTTTGTATTATTATATTATTATATTATTTCGAAATATAAACATGCATAATATGAATAAGAGGCGTCAACATTCGAATAATCTTTCGTACACGCAACACAATTGCTACTAGTTAAGAGACGCGCCAAGCTGTTACCCGACCACTTACTTGCTTGCCACGCGACTGAATGCGTGCTCTTAAGTACTACAATAGAGAAAATTAGCTTGTGCATAAATGCTCTAGGCTTTTTTGTTTGGTCCCGTAAAAAATAAATTTTTTATAATATCGTTTGGTCTCACTTCATGGTTATTTAACAACACTCACCAGAGTCATCTTGAAAAAAAAAAAAAATTACGTCTCAATAAATAAATCATTACTTTTTTTTTTTGATACGTATTACGTGGTGCATCCGAAAATATCACAATACAAAAATGATGGTCCCTTTGTACAGACGAGTAGCTCCTTCTCAAGTACCGAGCACAATGATACATTTTGCGAAGCTGGGTCAAAAAAAAAAAAAAAAAAAAAGAAAAAAAAAACACCAATAGGTCAACTTATGTACTCCTCTGGTATACTTATGTCGTGGGCTCGCGCTTCAATTGTATGCAGCACAGCAGAGTAGGATGGAGGAGAACAAAAAATACAGTGCACGCAGACGCTTACTCTACGTGATAAGCGCTAATGCTACTGTACTGTATAAACATACGACCTTAATGCATAAATTTTCTGCCACGAGTTCAAAGTTGCGACCTCCCCTCACATATCCCCCCAACACCAGATGACGTTAAATAGTAACAACATTTTTGTTTCTTTTCTTCATGTAAGTATGTATACTTGTATGTATGTATGTGTATTCAGCAATCGAGACTTTTTCAATGACCGCGGACAGGTTTTCGTCACTGCAGCTCTTCTCTCTTCGGAGATTTTCTAGCAAGCGGCAATTATTATGTTGGGTTTTACAAAAAATGTCACTCCTTCAGTGTTATGCAAATTTTTTTCATGCTATAAGCAGAATTAATTTTTGTATGATTATCTTTCAGAGATAGCGTCTTGTTTTTTTCGGATGTATTTACCTTTCTTGTGAGGAGCAGTGCATTGCGTAATGGGGCGATTAGATATTATATTTTTCTTTCTTGCCCAACTTTCGAACAAATTGCCTCAACTTGATCGATGTTTTTTAAAGTTAAAACTGGTATAAATTTGTTGACACTTCTCTCGATCAAAAATATAATATAAAGCACTAAAATATGAAATTTCAAGCAACTACATTTCAATGAAACGTGCAAAGGGTACATAATTGACAGGGTAGATCGTAATGCGTGTTTCAAGGCGTGCGAGTGCATGTCATTGCACTTGGATGTGTATTTTTTTTGCCAATCCAAACGGTTTGCATTAATGAGGCGAAAGGAAGTGCGAGAACGAATCGAAACAGGCTACGGGTTAGCGCGAATTTACAATTTTAATACCGGTTTCGGTGCGTAGAATTGACTTGCAACACTTGACATTTAGAACAGTCCATCGCTCATTCGGCTTTCGACGATGTGCTCGATCATCGCCGCGTTTGTTACAAAGGTTTTTTTCTTTCATCAAACAAAAATAAACAAAGAAGTAAACAAATGGATAAAAAAACTTACTATTTTGCAGTAAGTTTTATTAAAATTTAAAATTTCGGTTGGAGATGTAAGTGCATATTGGTATAAGTGTTGTGTGTGACGATGCAGTTCCGCGATAATTTTGGAATTTTTTGGGGCTTCAAAGGGGGGTGCCAACAGTAGAGTTGCATGTAGAATCAGCCCATACTTAAATTTTGACACCTAGACATAATGAGATGATGAAATTTTTATTTACAAAATTGTTATTAAACGCAGGGAGTGGTTCAATTTTTTTTTCTACCGCAGTTCCATCTACTAGGAACTCTGTGAATTACATTTTCCGTCTCAGCATCTTTATCGGACGAGCAAAACTATCAGAGCATTAGCATTCGAAAATTGGTTTTAATTGACAAAGAACAAACAGTTGACGTTAACAATGTATTGAAATCTTTAAAGAAGATTTAATGAATTTTTTTAGTTTAATAAACGCATTATAAAACAAAGGAATGTGGTATCAATAATTTTTCTTATCGAATAAAAAAAATTAATTGGGGGTATAACAGAAAAATACCGTAAAAGTTAATATCAATTATCACGTTTCAAAAGAAAATTTTTTTTAGTTTCTAGGTCTTGGTTTTGTCATACCTATTCGAAACAGGGTTATCTATATTTTGAAATTAAATTTGTTCAGACGAGTGACTAATAGATTGAGTAAAAAAAAAAAAATTTATATTACATTCGAGACAAATTAATTGTTCTTCTTTAGAACATAAAAATCAAATTCATACACATGAAATATTTTACAGTAGCAAAACGTCGTTCCATCATATCGAAGGTCGATAGGGTCAAACATCGGGAAATAAAATTAATAAAAAGAGAAAATTGTCCAAAACGGCCACTTTTTTTTTTTTTTTTTTAATCAACCAACTCATGTGAAAAATCCGCGTTCCTGATGAGTATACCTCTAGAAAAGATTTAAAAAAACCTGTGCTCCTCCGGACTCTCACCTATTGCCGTATTTGCGCGTCCGCAGGACATTGAAAAGGGAGAAGCACCGAACCATTGTCGAAGCGACGGCACCTACAACAGCAAGGGCAGCAGCAGCAGCAGCAGCAGCGTCGAGATCCACGGGGACGGGAGTGGGTCCGGAGTGGGGCCACCACCAGTAGGTTTGTACAACGACAACAACAACAGCTCCGCGACAACCGGCGGCAGCAACAACAACAACAACAACAACAACAACTCCTCTCTCGAACTCGCCGGCGGAGCAGCACCTGCTGCTGGCAGCTCCAGTAGCGCTGGCACGCCGTCGACCCGACGCTGGGCCGCAGTCGCTCGCCTGCTGCGGCGCCTGCTGTTGGCGATGATACTGCTGGCCGGCCTCGCGGCCGCACTCGCAGCCCTGTGGCTATATCTCGGACCTCTGTTTATCGTCCAGCTCTGCCTGGTCGTGCTGGTCGCCTATCTCGTCTCCGGGGGCAGCTTCCGGTGGTTCTACGTGGCCTTCAAGACGGCGCCCCGTGACCTCAAGTAAGGCTTTTTCGATCGCCCACACGCGACACTTACTTTGGCCGCGCTTTCTCTCGACTGTTCATCCCGGCGCTTGGCGAGATTTTGCTTTTATTCTTTCATTTTCATTTTTAGCCACCCCATATTCGGGATTTTAATACGTTAATACGTAAATTTCTCGTTTCAACCCTCACAGTGTTAATTACAATGCGTTGCGTAAACTTGACGTACGAGCCCGTGATTTTTTCCACGTACTGGTGGAACTGTTGCGAATTTCGATGGTCCAGACAGTGTACGAAAACTACCCTAAAAGTTATAGCAAATCTCGATTGAGATGTACCAAGTGCTGGAGTAAACAAAAAAAACACATCTCCATTTCTCTACAACGTAGATCGACTTAAGCGCAATACGGTCACAGTTTAGAGTACCCCCGATTAACCCTTTGTCACCGTAATTTTTCAATCTTTCCCGTGCAAGGAGACGCAAATCTCGCTAATGACAAGTTTTTCGCGTTGGCGCCACCATGTACATTAACACTCGTGTACACCATGCATATATACGCTGTGCTTCATTTCTCGCATTAGTACACAGCGGTATACACCTACTCGCGGTCGCGCTCCTGCTTTCTCTCGATTCGATGGTGTATACAGTGGAGATCGGCGACTCTCTCTATCCGTACCCACGCTCGAAGCGGGATATGGGCTTCTTTATTTTTACACCAACCACGCACACACTCGCGCGGAATTTCTCTTTCTTTCTCTCGCGCACGCCGTGTACTTTTCCCCCTTTTATACGTATACTATATATACCGGTGGCTATACGAGTCATTCACTATCTCCCGTCACGCGAAGTATAGTATTAGAAAATCGGGAAGAAAGTACCGATACATGCGCGCACTGGATTTTCATTGGCGATTTAACGATGTTTCGGCGTCGGCGAAATATACGTCCGAAGGCCGATTCTTTTTTTTTTTTTTTTTTTTTTTTTTTGTTCTTCATCTACAACGCCGACGCATTACGTAAAACAACGCGCGTTGATTAGAAGAAGTGATGGCTAATCTTTATCGCTTTTCACGGAGTTTAATCTTTGGATTAACTCTAACAATAAGTACCTACGCGTTGTGTGCCTTTTTTTTTTTTTTATCTCATGTCACGGTCGAGTCGATTGTTCTTCCACATAATTTATTCGGCTTTTTCGAGAATTCCGCGTTTTACATGCGCCTTTGAGCAAAGTCTATGGTAATTTTCGATGTTTGCGATCGGGGCCCAGTTGCGACTTTGTGTTTGGGTTTTTTTTTTTTTTTTCATAGTTTGGTCAAATGATAAACACCTTGAACATATAAGAATGTTGACAGAAAAAAAAAAATTGTAGTCTTGGCATATTGCTAATGATGTTATCGATCGATCGTACCTTTTTTTCCACAGTCAAACGATCGATTGGCGATTCATTCGTTCATCAATGCTTGAAGGTTGAAACAACAATTATACCGTTAGATTAGTTCTTTCAATTTTTCATTTTTTTTTTTTTTTTCGTAGACAAGCTCTTTTGTAGCAGGAAACTAATCGATGTCTTTTCTTCTCTACGCATTCAGAGTCAAGCAAATTAATATAACTACACCCATTGTCTCGTCACTGAAATTTCATACAAATAAAAAAACTATATACGATCGACTACGATATAGAAAGAAATCGCTAATAACAGAGTGCCACCTAGAATCATAAACCTTAAAAGTAAAACATAACACGCGAAGCTGAATTGGAATGGCAATACTTACCAAATTGGTATTTTGTCTCGCGTGTACGTGACAAACGACCGACGTGGTGTAATTTTCACGAACTCGCGATTTCCTTCTTCTTAACACATAAATCGCCAATAAACAACCACGTTTTCCTCATTCGCGCAAAACAATATATTTAGCATCAATGATGAAACCAACGAAGGGGTATAAAAACCCATGCGTCAAGGATACCCACGCGTGAGCGCGTAAAAGGGAAAACGAGCTCGTAAAACAACAATCCAAGAAAGTGACAAAGAGAGAACGATAAAAAAAGAAACGCGCATGCACTCCCTTATAAACGCGCGTGTGGGTGCGTGAACCCACTTTTTTATCTGTCACAATTTCGCTCGATGCTCAGTCACGGTATGATTACTTCGAATTATTTCATTTGCCATGCGCTCATCCGAGTCACGATAGTTTTTCCCCTGTGTTCTTACGTGCCGAGATAAGTGGACGAGGAAAAATTACGCCTTTGCGTGACAATCTGACAGTACGAGATACTTTTTTTAGCATTCACGAGTCATGGGTTTTTTTTAATAGGCGAAAACCCATTTCGGATCACGGATGGAAAAGCCCGCCGATGTTTGTTTTCAAAGATACTGACAATGCGATTTTTTGCCGATCAAAGAAACTGTTTCCATTAGAGGGCAAGCGGGTGACTAGGAAAATCCTATTGATTTGTTGTGAATGTAATTTGTACGTGCAGTCGTTTTCAAAATTTTATTCCCAAAGCCATATACATTAGGTAAAATGTCGCTTTCGCGTGCTTCTTACCGATTTTACGGGTGATCGTTACTATATACTTATCGAGGGGAGGAGGACAAGAAAAATGATAACATTTTCTACATGTGAGAAGTCAACTATTGTAACGTTCGCGAAGCCAACTAAACAGCATCACGTGTACCTAGTGACTTGAAAAAAGGAGCTTTCAAAATAACCCACGTGTCCGCCTCCGAGTCCATTTGACTATTTTTCCTTTACGCGCACACGTACAAAACAACACTCGCGCGCGCTCATGTAGGTATGGGTACGCACGCGTCCACGGTTCGAAGTGCGCGTGACGTGAAAGTGATTGTGACGTTTGCATGACGGCGTCGATGTATAGAGTCGAACAATTTTGTGATTCACGATGATCTCGTCGATTCGAGAAAAGTAAATCCCAACCAATGAAGTAAAAAACCGCGAGGTCGTTGCACAGTCGGGCTCGACTCGAGAAAAGTTGGCCGACGCCAACTCTTTTTCGCCTCATTTAGCGACTGGTGTGCAGTTTCCTCTTTCACTCTCTCTCTCTCTCTCTCTGTCTCTGAGCGTGCATGTAGAAAAAAGACATGGGGAACGTCCATTTGAATTTTTCTCGGAATGTCCGTACACTCGTTTGGTTCTGCTACTTTTTCCCCTCCCTCCTCGGCCATTCCCGATGACGAATGTAAAAATGTGCAAACATCGTTAACATACGTCCCTTTTTTTTCTTCAAACACTAAAAAACTCGTACTTTGTCAACAACGTAACAGGCCTTCCTTCGAATCGGCAGCGTTTGAAAAATACACGCGCAAAATAGCAAATAAAACAAAAAAAATAAAAAAGTAAAACCCCGAAGAAGCTAAACATGATTTTTGCAGAGCAATATTGCGCTACGTGTGCTTGCTGTGGACGATAAAGGCTCACGAGAAGAAAGACCGGAGCGTGGCCGACATATTTCGGCAGCACGTCGCCCGTAACCCCAACAAGCCGTGTTTCATTTTCGAGGATCAGGAATGGACGTTTCAACAGGTATGTGTCCGCGATATCGATTTGCCGCCCGATGGTGAACGAAAAAACCAATGGCAATGACATTTTCCAGGTCGAGGAGTACAGCAACAAGGTCGCTACGGTGTTCAAGACCCACGGCTACAAGAAGGGCGACGTAGTGGCCCTTTTGTTGGAAAATCGGCCCGAGTTCGTTTGCATCTGGTTGGGCCTCAGCAAACTCGGCATCATCACTCCCCTCATCAACACCAATTTGAGGAAAGCCACCCTACTGCACAGCATCAAAGTGGCGGAATGCCAGGCGCTAATCTACGGAGCTGATTTGTCAGAAGGTAATAATAATGCAGGTGTACACGCGATGCGCGGCTCCAGAAGAGCAAACGTATGTTTATTTATTTATTTGTTCTTTTTTTTTTNTCAAGCGAATCGTCGTGCTTTCTCGGCTTTTTGACTCTCTCTCACACCTCAAAGTGCAAGAATCTTTCGGGTAGTATACAGTTTTTTTTTTTTTTTTTTTTTTTTTTTTTTTTTTTTTTTTTTTTTTTTCTTTTTCAACCGGTTGGAAAAGCAAATTTCGGCGGCGGACAATAGAGAGCGTCGGTGTTATTCCATCCAACTGGCGCGCATTCAAATACGCAAAAATATGACTAGGCAGAAAAAAAGGCGAGCAAAAAAATCGCACGTTGCCGCACGCGCAAAGACTCGAAAGGAACGAGACAACGACGATGATGTTGAAACTTGCATGCGTTACCTCGAGTTGACAAGTTGTTACTGGGCGCGCGGCCGATATCGCGTGCTCAACCGATTTACAACCGAGCACCGATTCAGCCGCGCGTCGAACGAGTCGCAGTTTTTTTTTTCTCGCGAGCAAACGATTACAAAGATATAACTATGCTTGGCTGGCATTCAAGTGGCGTATATACATGGCAGTGGAAGTCCATTCGTAGGGATAAGCGAACGCTCTCGTTGGATATTTCGGAATAATTAAACGTACTGCGTTTGCATTTTTTTTTTTTTTTTTTTTTTTTTTTAACGAGCCGATGTCTAAGGAATTTGGTTTTCCAATAACGTTTTTTGTCCCCCTAGAGCTTGCAATCGCGTATCATTAATTAGTGCAGCAGAAAACTTTTATCGCAGCCTTTTTTCACAATTAATTATTTAACTTAATTTTTCATGAACACGTAAAAATCAATGTTTCACAGTAAAGAATACAGGTATTTATAGACTGGATGTGTATCGTATGTTAATTTCCTACACGAAAGATTGGTTAGTTATTCATGTCGGTGTAAGAAAAAAAAAAAAAAAAAAAAAAAAACATTTCCAGCTAGTATTTTCCATTCATAACAATCCGTAGAGACAATACACGCGTTTCACAGTCGATTTTTTTGTTGTTGTTTTCATCGAGACGATTGCACGTATCCAAGTAGAAACAATAAAAATAGGTTGCGAAATCAGCTCTATTGAGACGTTTGAAATGGACAACTGCATTTCTTGCGCAACAATTTTCTTCAGCCTGCACATGTATGAAAGTGCGGTTTTCAAATAAAGATTCATTAAAATACAATAAAAACGGGAGCAGTGTCGAATGGACTAGTGCGCTTGAGTTGAGCGTAAAACGATCATCATTTTACGACAAGAGAAAAAAAAAAAAAAGAAAAAAAAAAAAAGAAATTCACACTAACCCATATTCTTGCTTGTTGCAGCCGTGAAGGATGTAGCAACGTCGCTGGATTCGAAGTTGGGCCTGTACAGGCTGACGGACAAACCGGACACACCCTCGGATGGGCTGAAGGAGAAGGAGCTCAACAACTTCTTGGCCGAGGCGCCTTCCTCGCCACCGGTGCTTCAAGAAAAGGGCTGCTACGGAGACAAGCTCATGTACATTTACACGAGCGGCACGACGGGTTTGCCCAAGGCCGCTGTCATCACCAATTCTAGGTGAGCCTCGTTCACGAGGGTACAAGGAGCAACGTGGTTTGTCGAAAATGAAACAATGTTTCTCTAGATTTTTTGCGAAAATAACTGCACATGCAGGAGAGAACGATTGCGAACATCGACAAAACTAAGCCCTCGTGTAAATTTAAACTAATATCTCAGTAAAAAGAAATTGTGTACAGAGACGGTGGGAATTTTTAACGTAAAAGAAAAAATAAAAGTAAGATCGGCTCAATCAGTTTTAAACTAATCTTTTGTTAAACGTTTTTTATGAAAATTTAGCATCAACTATTTTTATTGTCTACCGTATTTTTGTCAAAGCTCGCTCGTTTGGACGATTATTTCAAGTACAAAAAGTCCATGGTTTTATGAAAAAGTAATTCCTATCATGCAACAACTAACGAATTAAAAATAAAAAAAAAGCCATTTTTCCCGTAGCTAAATAAAGAATATTTTCAGGTTCATGTTTATCGCGGGTGGTATCTACCACATCGGTGGATTCCGCAGCTCCGACAGATTCTACACGCCCCTGCCGCTCTACCACACCGCGGGCGGAGTCATGAGCGTCGGACAGAGTCTGCTGTACGGCGGCACCGTTGTCATGAGGAAAAAATTCTCGGCCAGCTCGTACTTCAGCGACTGCATCAAGTACAATTGCACGGTTAGATCGCGTCAATGTATACAAAATGAAAACATACACACATCACCAGTCCAAAGAAACAATTACAGGAATTATCATCGTTAAAACAATGGTGTACAATACTCACACTATGGCAATTCCTGCAATTTGTTGTCACTATCAATCAAAGCGATAGACTCGAATGAACGAAAATACAATTTTTTTTTTTTTCTTCCTCGGAACCAACAGGTGGCACAGTACATCGGCGAGATGTGCCGATATATATTGGCAGTGCCCCCAAAACCAGAGGACAAGCAGCACAACATCCGCACGATATTTGGTAATGGACTGAGGCCGCAAATCTGGCGGGACTTTGTCGCTCGATTCAACATTTCTCACGTCTGCGAGTTTTACGGAGCCACCGAGGGCAACGCGAACATTGGTGAGTTTCCAGAGTTGGATGAATCCATGGTGCGCTTAGAAGAGAAGAACGTATCGGATTTCAGGATATACCGTCGCGTATCGAGGCTGGAGGGGCCAATTTTTTCATGCTAAATATTTTCCTCTCTCTCTCTGCGCACGTGATCAAAAGCGAATCGTTGGAGATTGAAAATTTTTTCCCCACTTTTAGCAAATATCGATAACAAAGTTGGGGCGATAGGCTTCATGTCGCGGATTTTACCTGCGGTGTATCCGATATCCATCATCAAAGTGGACGAGGACGGGGAGCCGATCAGAAACTCCAAGGGCCTCTGCCAAGTGTGCGAGCCAAGTGAGTGCGTTTGACGAGCTTGTCTCGGTACAGTACGTATCATCGTTATCGGCATCGAAAAATCATTTTGCCTTTCAGACGAGCCTGGCGTATTCATCGGCAAAATCATCCCCAACAATCCGTCCAGGGCGTTCTTGGGATACGTAGACAAAAAAGCATCGAAATCCAAGATTGTCCACGACGTGTTTTCCAAGGGCGATTCTGCCTTTTTGTCAGGTACGTGTCGTTTACCCCATATGAGCTTATACAAAATGGTTTCGAAAAAATGTCTCAATAATCGCGTCCATTGTTGCAGGTGATATCCTCGTGGCCGACGAGTTTGGGTACTTGTACTTCAAGGACCGAACGGGAGACACGTTCCGCTGGAAGGGGGAGAACGTCTCGACATCCGAGATCGAGGCCATCGTCAGCAACCTGATAAACTACCGGGACTGCATTGTCTACGGCGTTGAGGTGAGTACGATTACCTTCTCCTCTCGCTCGACTCGTGTAAACGATGCACCCCTCACGCGTGGCACAACGTGTTTCAGGTCCATGGTGCCGAAGGCAGAGCCGGAATGGCCGCCATTTACGACGAAAATGGCACCCTGAACATCGACAAATTGGCCAGCAACGTCAAGGAACAGCTCCCGGCCTACGCCAGACCGCAGTTTATCAGGATACTGACGAAAATAGACCTGACCGGTAATGCAGATACCTACCTACTCGGTGGTGCAATTTCATTCGGCTAAAATTCGATAAACACACCCTTGATCCAACAGGCACGTTCAAGCTGAAGAAGAAAGACCTGCAGAATGAGAGCTACGACCCCAACAAGATACGCGACAAGCTGTACTACCTGGACCCGAAGGCGGGCTACCAGCTGCTGACGCCCGAGGTGTACGAGCAAATACAGTCAGGCAAGATTCGCTTCTGAAGGGGGCCACTAGCAAGCAGCACCGAACTCGCGACCAAAGGAACAGGCCTCGCCGCTCCGCCGACAAACGTACAAAACGACACGATAATAATAATAAAAAAAATAAAAAAAAAAAAAGCTTCGACCAGCGTCATCGAGAGGACAAGGCAAGGAAGAGCAAACGACTGTCCGCGCCACACGGATCCCCGGGGCAAGTTACGAGTTACGCTCGGGGGAATCGCTCGACGACCGGGGAAAAGCTGTATACAAATGCCTCGTACCTACATTATACATTACCTGCACTACCACCGCTGCTACACAATTATACATGTACTTGCAATTTTGGCTTGGGCCATTTCTCGCCAACATTCCTTTTGTAAATATTAATCAAGCGAAAAAGCACCAAATACTTTATGGCGCTCCGAGCGATCGATCGCGAGCTGTCGTCGCTGTCGTCGATACACGGGATCGAGGGGGGGGGGGGTGCTACACTTAGGGTACGACACTCGACCTCTTTTTTTTTTCCTCCCTCAATGTGTATAAGGTATACACACGTTATATCGTACGCGACGACTCGTGTTTCTGCTATATACTTACAATGTACGATAATTAGGGACATAAATTGCACACACGTATATTTTTTATACGCATTGCCGTTCGGATTGATGATTATGATGAGTGCGTTTTAGACGTTAGAAGGAAAGGAAGAAAGAAAAAATAAAGTCATTGCGCGATGGACGAGGAGATAAACGCGTGTTTGTTGTCCGTTATGGCGATGAAATCGTCGTCCTGTTTTAGGTAGAGATCGAAAGAGATCGGTTACACGTGTTTTTTTTTTATACATAGGGTAATGTGAGGGTGATCGATGAGAAACTGCTTATGATTTCGATATAGTGATAGAGATGAGAAAAATAAATAAATAAATAAACTATGTTGAATAGTGTAAAAAAATGGTTTACCGGGAGCGAGAACACGTCGGTTATGCGTTTATGCGTTTGACGCACAGTTCAAGCGAATCGTCGTGCTTTCTCGGCTTTTTGACTCTCTCTCACACCTCAAAGTGCAAGAATCTTTCGGGTAGTATACAGTTTTTTTTTTTTTTTTTTCGTTTTAGATGTTTTTTTTTACAAAGATGAAGGAGAAGAGAAAACGAAAGTAAAAGAGAGAGAGAAAAAAAGTACGTACATATATGCGCGCAATTTATTAGCATGTAATTTTACTTTAACGACAGACAATTTTATTATTTATTTCATTAGGGAGAGCCTCGATGACTTTCGCCACCGCCGCCTTATCTTCTCTTCGACGAGCTATACAATACTTTCTATATCGTCCGATGCACAATTTATTATTACGTTTCGTTTGTATATGCATGTATGTGACTGTGATACATCTTTTTCTTGATCAACGAGGACAAAATATATTATTTTGTGATTTATTGTAATGTCCTTGCTGCGATGATTTTCTGTAAAAAAAAAAAAAAACGTGGTGCAATTCGTTGCGAGTACATTTTTTTTTTTTTTTTCTTTTTAAATAGCGTGAGGAAGTTAGCTGTTCGGTGAAAAAAAGTACCTTCAGGCAGGTAATTTCCAGAAAGCAAAGAATAATCAGCAACTGGAGTTTTCGTGACGCTACGATCGGAAGCCCATCAAATGTTACGAATTTATTGTTGGAATGACGATTACAAATTCAGAAAAGACTGTTATCAACAGATTGTAATATTTTATCTTCACAACAATGGGGGTCAATATCTCATCAGTTTATTGTAAACGTGATTAATTATTTTAACACGCACAGTCATTATACGTATCATTATTATCAAGAAGATAATGCTCGTACGTGGCTAATAAGCAAACAAAAAGTAATTCTGTAATTTAGCACATATATATCTTTTGCTACAACGATTAATTATCAACGACTTTTATGTTTTTAGACTCGATTTTTTTTTCATCTATGGTAGCTAAAAATCTATCACTTATCATTTTGTTAAGTACGTGCAAAAAAAAATATACAGCAGTCGGTGATGCAGAGAGGATCTCCAAATGGATAATTTATTTTTATGTCAAATGGGGTATGTGTGCAGCTAAATGTTGCGATAATTTAGATTATATTGTTGCTTGTTATCTTTTTAGAATAAAAAATTTTACCGTTTCTTATTTTCCGTTCTTTTGCGTATTTTTTAAAAATTTCAAGTACTCAAGTCGATTTTATGCGGCTTTTTTTAAATTAATCATCCATGTGTTCGGTAAGAATCAGAAACCACAATTGTAAAAAAAATTTACAAACACCTATTTTACAAATATATCATTATTTCACAGACTTGAAATCCATATTATTATTATTGTTATAAAATATTTTTTACATACTTCTTGTTTTTTTTTTTTGTTTTTTTAAATAAATTTTATTATTTCATGATAACATTTTAGTTTATTATGAAATACACTTGAGACGATATTTTTAACATAATTTTTAATCGATAGGTTGGTTTTCAAAATTTACGTGCTCCGATTGCTTCAAGTAAGCTCAAAAGGATTTTACTTTCCACCAAACTTGAGAAAAAATAAATAAATAAATTTTAATCACCTTCCCGAAGCAATATTATATTTCTAAAAAATAAATAAATGAATAAATATAAATTTTAAATGCACCGAGTTTTAGAGTCAATGAGAGATGCCGATACCACGTATTATCAACTTACGAGTTATGTTAAATTGGAAAACATAATTATTAAAGAGAGAGCGAAAAAGAGTATAGGTACTCATGCACCATCAGCATCGGAGGAGATAACCGGTTATTTCCGCTTCCTCTGTTTTTTTTTTTTTTTTACTGCACCAGTGAAAGGCGCACGATGCACTCACTCTCTCTTGCTCCGATGTGACATCAGCAACAGCTCCTCGAAATTCGCCAAAAAAATCCTTTATTCACGAGCGAGTAAGCACCGAGACTGGCCTCTTGAAAAAAAAAAAAAAAAAAAAAAAAAAAAAACGAAAAGGTGAAAGAAAGAAGAGAATGTAAAGAAGGAGGAGAGAGCACCACCGTACGTGCGTACACGTACGAGCTCCAGGCAGCGATCGCGCTATGGGAATTCTATTTCAGGGTTCCGGTCGAAGAACCCCTCGCCGCACCGGCTGCTGGACTCGTCGTCAGCCGGGCCCCCCTTTTTCTCTCTCTCTCTCTCTCTCTCTCTCTCCATCTGGTTGCGAAAAGCAGTGTGCCATCGAGCGCCTCGAAATCAGCAGCTAAACTCGCCTGCTCCGATCTTTCAATTTTTCTTTTCCCTCGTCACGTGTTGAATTTTCATTCAAGATTTCCCGATCTACGCTCGAGGTGACTCCCGATTGGTGATGCACGTCGGGCGAAATATCACCCACCAGTGACAAGTGAGTACACGTGTGATCAATTAAAACATATTTGCAAATTCCTCGTACGTACTTATACTTTTGATATACATATACTCGTATATAAATAAGATCTTGGAAATAATTGTACTCGAGCATTTTAGAGAAAAAGCATATTGTGGGCGAAAAAAATCGAAAAGCGGTGAACTTTGTCCCTATTTGGTGCTTGCCACGCTTTTATTGGCATCCGCTCGCTATCGAGTGCGCGATAACGCTACATACTATCGCAAGGCTGCTCGGAAAAGGGATACGTGCGTTGAGCAAAATTTTTTTTTCATATGCATAATGTGTCTCTGCGTGTTTTGTGTATGGATAAAAAAATATATATAGCTGAAAAAGAGGGAGAGAGAGAGAAAAAGTCGATTGCCGCAGTAAGAGTTGTAACGGTAAGGCTTTTATCTGTTGGCCAGTGATGACGTCTTAAGTATGACTGTGAACAGCGGCATTGCGGCAATTTCTGCCGATGCAATTTTGCGTCGGAACCTTTGAATTCCCTCTCTTTTCTCTCATCTTCCTCTTTCTCTCGGAGGTGGTCCTCGTTCTTTATGGCACGTGGCGGTACGTGTATAGCGAAAAACTCCTTTGCAATGCCATAAAGTCTGAAAAGTGCGATTTCATCCCGGTAAATTGCATTTCGATGGGTCGCCGACCTTTTCTCTTCTTTTTCTTGCTAGGTGTGATTCGGTAAAAGAAAAGTCATTTTAACGATGCTTATCTATTAGACATTGACAATGATTTGAATTTTTTAATCGTAATAATTTTTTACGGAGTAGGGCAGGCAAGTCTCATTAAATTGGTTTATTTACTGTTTTACTTATACTGTATATAATAATATATAATCTACGAGTTAGAAAATATTTGCATAAGTGGTGCATTTTTTCGTGCTATTGTGATAGTGCTGGGCTTGTCAAACATATCCTACTTATTGTTACAAAAGTTATTAACAACACGTGTAACTTGTTATTTTTTAGTCACGCAAAGCACAAAAAGTGCGACAGACACGAAAGTCATAGAATATGGATTGTTTTTTGTATGAATTTTTTTACATCAATATTAAAAAATTTTTTGAAATCAGTTTTAAAATAAGCGGTTAAGCTCTGAATCGCAAGTATCAGTACATCAATATATTAAAATTATCATTGAAAATCTCTATATGTAACAAAAGTTGATTAATTAATTTTTTTTTTTTTGTAAACTTGAAAAATTTGAAATCACTTATTGCAAATTTAATAATTTAAAATTAAAAATGAGAAAAATAACTTACGGATCGATAATTTTATTAAAAAATTATTAATCGATTAAAAACTTTAACTCATTTTAATAATAAATTGTTTCTAGTGTCACTGTGGTTCACCTGCATTTATGTAAATACGCTCTTGAAAAATTTAGATTCTTAAGGGTGCAAGAATATTTTCAACCACTATAATAATTAATAATTTTCGTAGTTAGAAGGGTTGAGAAAAAAAAAAAATTGCGCAAAATAAAATAACCAATAGTCACTACTCAATTTATGAATAAAAAAAGAAATCTGCAAGCAACGAAGAAAAGAACGCAGCCACGAATCCAAAATATTCCCGCAAACGCACCCTTAGCAGGAGTACCCGTCAGTTCCAGTATACGCACGCGCCTTACAGCCCGAATCCTTTCGTATACAAACCAAAGTATTCACGGAGGTTAAAAAAAAAAAGAAAAAAAAAAAAAAAAAAAAAAAAAAAAAAAAGGAGGAGTAAAAAACGGTAGAGTATACCTTTGCACAACGTGTATGCATGCGAGTCCATGCAGTACACCGCTCTCCACCCCCCAATACGTACACACCGAGGCACAGATGGAACGACAGCAGATCGACGCAGCGGAAAGTACACCGGTATATAGATACAAGGGAGGCAGTATGAAGTAGGGGGTTGAAAGTCGCGCGGGTCGCCCATCCATACGGGCATTTACGGACGCTCACCGCTCGGCAGTGATAAAAAGAAAGTGGATGACGACGACAGTGGCTGAATCGTGATTGTACAATTGCACATACATACTTAGGCAACGCAACATCTCGAGCCTGTGTCTCGTCTCCCTGTGGGCTGCTGCAGCTCCGCGGATAAACCTGCAAGTGAGGATCGTTTGTTTGTTTGTCTGTTTGCAGTTGACCGAGTAATATTTTTCTTACGCGGGATCGACACGGTAGATACACGCGCTCGTCCACCCCAATTCCATAGTGACAGAAGCAAAGTGCGGCAGGGTGATTGTGTTTTTACACAGGTTTTTTGGTTATATATGCACGTATACCATACAATCACTACAATATATATATATATATATATATATATATATATATATACCAGCACTCAGCGACGGTGGTCGCCACTGCCTGTACACCGAGGAGGAAGACTCACGAGTGCAGCCCCTCCGACCTCTCCCCTTCACCCCGAAAAAGTACAATCGTCAAGGAGCACGCCGACTTATTCGACATTACCCTGCATAAAATCCGCTCTCTCGTTACCTCCAACAGGTTAATTCCACAACTCTATAGTATATAGTATACGTACGTACCCGTTCGGAGGGATACGTGTTATACTCCCAAACTTACGGAAATCGTCAGTGAAAGGGGGGGATGAAGAAGTTTTCTGTGCGGCGATCGATACCTCCCCACCCCTGCCACCTTTCCCTTTGACCTCGGCGTGTATAACAACAGTGTATACTTCACGGCACAAAATAACGGCCCTGTCGAAATTTCATATCACATCACATTCTTTCGGCTGCATGATTGTATCAGTGATATTAACGTGAGGTAACTTGTAGACTTTGCTCAGCTGCGCGGCGTAAGCGCGTCGTTTCGTTAACTCGGAAGAAGATAAGTTCAGGTGTATATATACATAGATAAGGATTTAGTGTCGAGCGGAAGTGGATTTTACTTACTTCACAGCAAGTCTTACTTAGTTGCGTGATGATTTTACGAGCCAGGTGTGCTGTGGCGGTTCGCGACGTGGCCAACTGTGCGTGGCCGGATTTTAAGGGTGGCATTGAGCAGACGCCGCGTCGTGTGTTCCCTCGCGGGATTTACGCTATACTGTTGCTTTGACAATTTTTATTTCTATCTGGTATCAACGTTAATACGGGGGGTATTTTTCTGAATGGTAGGTTGGTTCGCTGTTTCGTTTTTTGAGGTGTTTACTATGGCTCAATGAGGTTCTTTACTTGACAGTTTGGTTAATGATTCGGTTTCAATTTCACCTCCTGATTCTGTTCTTGAGTATCATTGGTATATCACGTGCATATACTCCAGAGAGTGAGGACCATGGCAAGGTTTCAGATTATTATTTTGCCCACTTGAAGAGTAGCAAATAAAGTATCAAAATTATAACTGACGTTGAAACAATTATTTGAAAGTGGAGGTGGGCATGATTACTTGTTTGAATGTTTTGTGATATAATCCATATAAACAATGCTTTAATAATGTTGCACTGAAAATTTTTTTTTATTCATCCACTGAGAATACGGCGCTTGATTACATTTTTTGTTTATGAAAAAAAGTTTGAAAAAAATGCTTCAATGCCTCTTTCAAACGATTTTTATCGTCTTGAAGAAATAGTGCACTATTTTTAGAAAACAATTTTGCCGAGTAAGTAAAATATTATGAAAAAAATGTCAGCAAAAATTAATTAGATTACCTTCAGCAGGAAAAAAAATGTGACTGAAGTTTTGAAAAATTTATTACGTGATGAATGTGTACTTGCAGTGATTTTGAGAAACACACAAAATCTCAGCTATCCAAAGAATGTACGATGTTTTAATTGTTATCAAGCCTCAGTCATTGCAAACTCTAAGATTTTATTTGTACATTAGTAATTTATTTTGATCGAACCAACTCGCTTTAAAAGTTTTAAAACTCATGCAAGTTCCATTTTTTACGCTCACTACTTAGGTGCTATCGCAAATTACCTATTCAGAGTGTTTGCTTTAGTTGGAAGAGTGGCTACACTCTATCGCATCGTTCTATTATGATGTAATTGAGATAAAAAAAAAAAAAAAAAAAGTTATACTGCTGGTTGGCTTTTTGTGCAAAGTAAACATCACGTTAGCTCTGCATGATTAAATCATAACCCTGCAGAGATGAGAATTTTCAAACTTTCCGTTCATTTATCAGTCGGTTAAAGTAGGTCATTTAATTTCCAAGTCCTATGCTAGATCGCCAATGTGAAACTCGATGACAATATTTTCCTCTCCTCCCACTCCGATGTAACAGACTGCAGATATGCACATCCGGCTGTTTTTATTCCTCTTCGATCGAATTGCGCATATCGTGTGTGCTTTGTGTCTACGTGTTATAGTATAGCTAACTATAATCGTGTGTCGGACAAAATTTACTTTTCCTTTGTTTTGGTTCTGGAAATCGTCTTTTTACAGGTTAAATCGCATTTTCACGAGGGTAACTGTTGGTGAATATGCACCTTATTGTCGTAAAGTGTTTTCTTTTGTAATTTGGCGTAAATCTTTGGGAATCAATTTTTATTGTATTTTTCAAATCTGCAGAAATAGCGCGATCGCAATAAAGTAAACTCAGTTGCACAACTCGTAAAATAAAAAATTTAGAGTAGCCTTCGATTTTTTGGTTTTACAGCATTTGACACCATTACTGTTCGTCATTTGCAGGTATACATCATTTATTGGGTTGGAAAAGTGGGTCTACTTGTATACTGCGTGAACTGTTTGGTAGAAACAACCAAAAACTGGTTCGTGAATAAATTGCTGATTTAAATTCATTAGACAATCTAAGGTCAACGTTATTTAAATTACTCGTCGGTCATTTTTACTTACTACCATGCTGAGAATAAAAAAAATATCGTAACTACACATCAATTAATTAATATCATCCTCCGGTTGGTATAGTTCAAGTACACACACGTCACTGCGTAAATTTTTTTTTTTCACATCGACCCGGATGATAATAATAAAGATACTTTTAGAAATATCAAAACGTTATAATGCCTTGCTTTAAAAGCTGTAACAAAAGATCCATAAACTCAAGTGATCGTTACTAAATTTCAATAAGTACTTACCTAAATTCAAAGGACAAATAAATAAGTTTATGCGTTAGTACATCACCAGATTTATTTTGTTCGTTTGTCTGCTATCGTATGAATTATTTTATGCACTAAAAAAATAATAAACATAATAAAAATTAAGACAAAACCCGACCCAATAAATTTTTTCATCCAATCGAAACAGTGAAAAATGGAAAATCACCAACAGGCATCAGCCCGTTTTATTTAGCCTCATCATCCCATCACCTATAGCGCTGTACACTTTAAACAACTCAAGTTTATTAGACCCAAAAAATATAAATTATCGACCAGCCGCTCGAAGAACCAATTGTAGCCACGAGGAGCAACAAAAATCAACGTTTCATCACGGGGCCGTTTAATAATGCATCATATATAGCCCAACGGGGTCGCTGTCGCGCATACATTAACACCAGCACACGTGCACGAAGCCGTAGGTATATAGCAGCCATTATTCTTGGAGTGCTTGGTTCTCGTGAAAAAGAGCAATGGATGTATAAGGACACGTACGTAACAAGGAAGCAGAACCAAGAGGTCGCGCGATGATGGTATAGTCGGTCAGCTTTCGGTGTGTTTTCAGTGTTATTTGGCACCAAGAGCGCAAGCGCCGATCGTTAAAAACCTACATCTGTGTATGGCTCGAGCTTTCACGAGCGCACATGTATGTACAAGCTCTCGGTGGGCATCGAAATGTTTCGTTTACGTGCCGGTACACCGGTGGTACCAGCCGCGAGGGGTAGTGAAAAAATGACACTTGCCAGCACGCTGCGGTTGTTCTACCACCCCTCGATGGGCCGATCGCTGATTTATACGTATATATTATGTGCACGTGCATAGAGAGAATTACGCAGACGAGATGTTATTTTTACCGCTGCTTTCTCGCTGCGGATTTTAATTGACGAATACGTCAGTATACTGGGGTTGGAATACCAGACGATGACGCGAATGCTATACATATACTTGTTGTAACTGCAGGTTTGTTAATTTTTATTTTCGTACGCGTTTTTTCCTCACTTCACCCACTTTGAACCGTAGTTTGGCTTGGTAAATTTATGAAAATCCGAAGTCTCGAGTTGCGCGTGTAAATGACCAGATGTTTTATAAAACTTCGTTTATACATATATACACTGCAGAAGTTTGCATGGAAAAATAAAAAAAAAAAAAAAAAAAATTTATCTACACCAAAATGTAACTACAACTCGCTCAAAATATAAAAAAAAAAAAAAATTAATAAATCACGTTATATAACTACATCGATGTGCTAATGAACTCGTAAATCCGATTGAGATTGAATGCTCAATTAATCAAAGAAAAAACTAATCCAAAGATAAAAAATCACCAATACTCGTATAGGAACAATTTAAGGGACGTAAAGTTTGGTGCTTTCATTGGTATAATATGATCTAGCTTCCCTATGTATACAAAACCTTGAATCCGTTGTTCATCGAAAAATTGGAAGGAATGAAAATAAACCATCGCAATGCGGTACACAGAGTTGGATAACGTTCAAAGACAGAGATAATCGGGAGGGAGGGGAGGGGGGGGGGGGGGGGTATTTTTGATAAGGAAAAAAAAGTCGTGCTTGATCTTCGGCTGATCCGACGAAGCCACCACAGTCCGCACATGAAAATAAGTACACAACAAACGTCATATGAATACGGGTACACGCGATTAGCTGGAGGGTGATAATTATTAGGGTGGCACGACTGCGAGCGCCAAGGTATAGGAATAGCGTACACACGTAAAAGTACAGTAGCCCTACCGTACAGTGGTGCGCATACGTATAGGCAAGATACACAACAACCCCCTATTGGAGCGCACAGCCGCCTGACAGTCGAGCGGGCAGACGCGACGGGGTTCGGTCTGGGGTGGCGCGACCCTGATCTAATATTCCGCGGTTCTCTATCTCCCTTCTTCTTCGTGTTCCAGCAGCAGAAGCGGCGGTTGTCAGCGTCCCCAGCATAACGAATAGCAGCAGCAGTGGAGCTGCAGTAGCGCCATGGAAGTCAGACTCGCGCTGCTAGTGCTCGCCGTAGTTGGCAGCCTGATGGCCGCGAGCTTGAGCTCGAGGTTCGGCCTCGTCGCCAGGATCGTGCAGCTTGGGCTTGCTGCTGCTGTCGTGCCGCTTGTCTGGACTTACCACCGCAAGCTCTACATCATCATCAGGACACTGCCCAGGGATATCAAGTGAGTGTTTTTTTTTTTTTTTTTTTTTTTTCCCCTACTAGTTCGACTTTGACATACTTTTTTGATTCCTTAAAAAAGTGCGTGTTTTATGCCAATCGATGGATTCCAATGGGGATGCGTGCTGACCCAAGTGTATATACGTACGTGTGATGTATAGCGATTCGTAGAGGGATATGACGTGTGTGCTTTCTTTTATTTCCCCGCGCGTCGTCTTTCGCGTTTTGCGCTACTGCTGGGTTATTTAAAAAGAAGTTGTCTGGGATCGATTGACCCATTGTGTGGCTTCGCTTGGGACTAACCTACCTGGTTTTGCCTGCATGCAGAGATACTTGTCGTGACAAAACTGGCAAACAATTCGGAAAAAGATTATTATGCGACCGTGGGGGTTCATTCAGGGAACTTTTTTTAAATTAATCAATAAATAAGGCATTGGTATACGATGGAGAGCGGTTAAGGGTTTTTCAAGAGCTCGTTACTTGTGAGAAAATAATGCAATTCAATTTTTTTTTTCTTCTCTTCCTTCAATCGTTACTTAAAACTATTGCAATGGTTTTGTAAGTTAATCGAATTCTCTTGTGCATTGATGAATTCCAAAGCCAACTGTGAATTATACTACTGCATAATGACAAACTGAGAAAATTTTTTCATCAAACGTTAAATTATCGATTTGTAATTTTTAAAAGATTTTGAGGCATGATACATATCCATTGAATTCGTGACATATACATTTTTCGTTGAGTAAACAAATGAATTAAGTAAGATAAAAACCCCGTAAAAAAGATTTAGGCATACACAGTTACCTTCAAGACTGAAGGCTTACTAACTGTGCATGGAGAAAACTTCTGATGTTGGTTAAAAAAAAAAAAAACTAATTTAAATTTAACACTTAAATACTATAAAAAAAAAAACTTGGAAGAGTTTAGCTTTACTTTAATACCTAGCAAAAAGCATGAAAAAAAAATTTAATAAAAAGAATTGAATTTCTAAATAACTAATAATTTGATACAAGGACAATCAAAGAAACAAAATAGTGAATATACAGTGTATATGTACACGTATATATACATGCATATATACATAAGCGTTTCGATAGCAGTATAAAATTTTTTTTTCAACCTTGATGAAAAAAATTAATTAAACTGTCAACAAACTTTATAGATTGTATATTTATATACATACAAACCCACACACACACTCATAAACTACTCCGAACATTTAGAGTAATAGTTATTTGTAAAAGTGAATGTATTTTGATAATAATTTTAATAAAAAAATATCGCCCATTACGAAGATTAAATTTACTACAAAATATACTTATGATTTACTTCTATAAATCAATTTTTCCTACAGCTATTCAACTGAAATTTATTTACAATCAAAATAGTAATGATAAATAGCCTTGAATAAGATACTTCAACATTTCAATGCTTCTGTTCTGCAGGCTGATCAAATTAAGTAGATTAGGTCTATCACAATTTATGAACGAGTTTATTTGAACTTTGATCGGAATATTTTTCACTAAACATCTAAGAGCTATTTTTACTTCTAACCACGTATGTTCATTTGAACGAAACAGCAATCGATGTACCGCAAATTTAGACTCACACAATGTCTGTAGATCTTTTTATTAATTCATTACCCACCATAAAACCATAAAGATAATTTTGTGACAAATTTTCAAACTTGTATGAATTTAATTAATATTAAATTTTGAGGGAAATTGAAAATGATTTATTCTTACTACATCATTATCTCGACCGAATACTACTATCGCATATAAGATTGGCTTTTTTTAACATCATGTTATCAATGTATGTGCTCATATGAGCGAGGCTGTCATTGTTAAAAAAAAAAAAAATTAGAAAGATTGAGAAATAAGGATGGATGCAGAGAGAAATGGAGAGCTAATCTCTTCCAACTACAAATGTAAAATATACGTATAAAAAAATGGCAATGTAATCATACTTAATTATTTCAATAATCAAGCGTCAGGGAGTATTCCTTTTTTTTGTTGATTTGATATCTATAATGGATTCGCAGCTTGTCTTACGCATACTTATGATATTTAAGGCTTGAACTCTCAGGTCACTGGATTGCAAGTTCGACAAACCATAATCTGACCCACATAAATAAAGATTAGCGAAAATATCACTGCCAAATGGCAGTCATCAAACTCATAAAAACCATTTACTTTTTACTTTTTTTTTTCTGAAATTTTTTTAGTACTTTATTTTATTTCAACTCGTAAGTAGGTTTCCGCGTGTAGTTGTAGGTTTTCATTTTTTGGAATATTTTTTAACATTTCTGCGACAGCCGATGCTTTCTAGTTTGCGAGAACTCAACATTACCTTTGCGTCTATTTCACCTTTTATACATATAATTATTTTCTTCGTACTCGCAGGAAAAAATATGCAATTGAAATTTTTGTTGAGTACATTAAATAAATTAAGTGAAAAAATTTTTCCAACAACTTTTGATGTAAGCAAGTTCTCGCTACAATCGTAATAACAAAGGAAAAAACTACTTCAAGTTAAAATGATGCATGCTATTTTAACAAAACATAAAATTCCCATGCCCCAAAACATTGCATTCGCTCGAAGGAACCTTCTACAGTTGATTAATAACAATAAATTAACCTTTGTCGTTTAGTCAACAAAATTTGTTTGTTTGCGAAAATGTACATTCAAGAAGAATACATAGTTTATGTTCGACGTGTGTTTTAACATTTTTCAGATTCCTCTATCGCTACGTTAATGCCCACCGGGAGACAAAGCAATATGCGAGAAACAACACGACTGTAATGAAGCTCTTCAGGGAGAGAGCAAGGCAGCATCCAGAAAAGCCCTGCTTTATTTTCGAGGATCAGACGTGGACTAATGCCGATGTAAGTGAGCTCAATTTTTTCAGTTGTCAACTCGTGTGTACTCCGATCACGTGATGGTGGTTGCTCATTTTTGATTATACAATATTACAACTATGTACAACACCATATTGTTGATCGTTTCTCGCGAGGAAAAATAGTAAAAAAGGATTGAGGAAAAAAGTACGAGGGTATTCGGTGATATTTGTGTTGCAGATCGACAAGTACAGCAACCGAATAGCTTCGGTGTTCAAAAATGCGGGCTTCGTCAAGGGCGACGCCGTGGCGCTGTTAATGTTCAACAAGCCCGAGTACGTGGCCACTTGGCTGGGCCTGGGCAAGCTCGGCGTCATCACTGCCCTAATAAACACGAATCTGCGACAAAAGTCACTTGCCCATTGTCTGACTGTTGCCAAAGTCAAAGCTATCATTTTTGCGGACGAGTTGACGTCTGGTGAGTCACGTTTTATTGAGAAAAACAAAAATTACGATATTTGTACCTTGTGCGACACGATGATGGTTGGTTGGTACTTACTAGTAATACAAATATTGCATTTGTAGGTGTAGAAAATAAAAAAGTAAATCGTAAGTTTTTAAATAGCCCGGATTATAGAGTCAAACTGTGGAGTGAGACATCCATGGAGTTTCTTTCCATTTGTTTTACATACTTTGAAAAAAGTAAGATAAAAATTAAGATCGACTCGCTTTTTGCAGTGATAAAATGTCCCATGTATTTTTAAAGGCTTAACGATAAAGACGATACGATATTTTAATGATTATGATGTAGAACTTGTAAAATCTTGTGAATGTCGATATCGCCTCGATAACGACAATGTAAATCTCGTACTGAGAATATCGATAAATCTTAAATATAAATTAACATACATATATTTATGGCTCATTTTACGTTTATTGTAAAGAACAACAACAAAATTGATTTACCTGATGTATTGAGTAAAATAACTTAGATCGTGTCTAAAATTACAAACTGATAAAAAAAATTGCAGAAAAAGATTGTGTGTAATTTAAAGACAAAAATAATTAGCTCTAGTTGAACTCTGAACTAATTAAAGTAATTTCATTCTAATCGATGTGTAAAGTTAAAGTATAGATCTGAATAAAATTTTTTTTCATTTTAAATATAAACTCTTCAAGAGATAAAAAATATATTTTCGCTCTCTATAAGATATAGTAAATAATAATCAATATTAATAAAATAACGTTACATCGTGCAATTATGATTTAAAGATGTTGTCAAATAGTATTGGCACAACTGTCTAATATCAAGTGAAACTAGACTCTAAGGGAAACGTGTCGTGCGAACGTATATTTATTATGCATTTAAACTGTTGCCTGATAATACAACTAAAATTATTTACAAATTAAAATCAATCAATTTAACAATTTGTTGGAGTGATAACTTATCGTATGACTTGAAAGGAAGAAAGAAAACCCCACAAAACAATGAAACGTGGGAAAATAACAAAAAATTGTGTTTCCGGTGAAAAGCAATCGACGAAATACTGGAATCGTTGCCCAACATCCAGCGCTACAGGCAGGGAAGTGACGCCCCATGCACCGGCGGTACTATCAATTTAAATGAGATCATGTCGAAGGCGAGCGATGAGCAGCCGCTGATCGACCAAGAGCCCGGCTACAAAGATAATCTCCTGTACATTTACACGAGCGGCACCACCGGACTACCCAAGGCGGCTCAGTTTCCCAATTCCAGGTAAGCCATCGATTCCCCTCCATCGATCCGTGCCTACACCTGCCGGAATAAAACTTGGAGTTGAAATTGTATCAACTAAATGTGTTTTCCTCATATTTCGGCCCATCGATTTGTTATTCACAAAGCCATTAAAAATAAATCAATCGGATTGAGTTTGTCGAGCACACGGGTTCAAGAAAAAAAAAAAAAAAAAAAAAAAAAAAAAAAAAAANTGGCGGCGATAGTCGATCCCGAGAGCTTGCTGGACTTCAAAGCGCTGGCCGAGGGTCTGGACAAGGCTCTACCGTCGTACGCGCGGCCGATATTCCTGCGGATCGTCAAGGAGCTCGAGCTCACCGGCACCTTCAAGCTCAAGAAAATCAACTTGCAAAAGGAGGGCTTCGATCAAAAAAAAAAGAGCCAAGCGATCCACGTTTGAACTTGATACTATGCTATAGTAGAAGAAAGAGTGGGAAAAAAAGCCAGCGAATCAGTCGGATATATTCTATTTTAATTTCACGTTTATTGATTATCAGAATGTAGGTCGAACGCCTCTTGTAGTTTTCTTACATCCTCTCTCTGTGATTAAGTGTTTTAATATTAAGAGGGGAAAAAAAAAATTAGTACCAAAGTCCAGGAAAACCAAGAATTTTAATAATAAAGCCGATCATCCGAGTATACATAGCGTATGCGTGGAAACAATATATACATAGAGTAGAGTGTAAAGCGTTTATTTAACTATGGTATGCATGTACAGCTCAAAGCCCATATTGGGTACAGCTACGTGTGATGCATGAAAATAATTACAAAATTAACGTACGGGTCGCTCGCAGCGGGGACCACCAGAGGGGAGAGGAAGAAGCTGTAGCTCTTGTCACGAGTTCGACTGAATTTCAGTCACCCACCGGTAATTTTTGGCGAAAACGCGCGATTCATCGAACAGATATGGGAAATCAAAGCCACACAGTTTTTCCTTTGGCCACGTTACTTTTTTTTTTCAAGTTGGGCACTTGCGAGTTTAACGTACACGTTACGTAATGTGATGCACTGCATGTGTACCCAAGTAGGTATATGTATACGTGCAGACGCGGGTGTTTAAAGTTAGGATGAAAGTGGCGCTCCGTATAACGATGGATCCATAATCTTGTCAGGGAGACCTCACAACTCGTGAGGGAATAAGATTACGACTGGGGTGCAACTATACGTGCATCCATTCTCGCGTGTATTTATGTATACGTAGACGTATACGTACATATGTAGTGCATGACACGTATAGCTCAACATAATGACACGTTGTACTTAATATTTTCCATTATTTTTTTCGAAATTTGCGTGAATCGTCCACGTATGCGAATACGCATATTGTATATTTCAAATAAAATTTTCGAAATTGTTTTTACTGCTCACGTATCGACAGTGTACAATAAAAATACTTTGTAAATTGTAGCTGGTTTAAAGGTCTAATTTTTGCTGATTGAAAAAAAAAAAATGAGTTTCCGTAATCATTGTCATTATTAGCCAGTATGATATAAATTTATCTCAAAAATATTTGGTGACAAAAAGTTGGGGCACGGAATTTTCATCGACGAAAAAAGATACATGCACTGTGATAGCTTTTCGGACTACAATTCATATAAGCTGTATAAGATATATATGTATAAGATGGAATGTCATTGAAATCAATGAACGACAATGGGTTTTCGCATAACTTGCAGGTACCTGTTGGTTCAAACGGCGACGTACCACATGCTGGGCTTGAGGAACAATGACATCGTCTACAACCCGATTCCCTTGTACCACATGTCCGGAGGAATAGTAGGTACCGTCTGCGCCCTGACCAAGGGGATACCCAGCGTACTGAGAACCAAATTCTCGGTGAGCGCGTACTGGACCGACTGCATCAAGTACAACTGCACGGTAGGTATTCAAAACCAAGTGTCCCTTGTTTCACTCGAAATCTAAGTGTGTTGCAGTACACGTTTCAAAGGTGTAGGTGAAGTTTCTGTTTTTTTTTTTTTTTTTTTTTATAAATTGCATCGCCAAAGTGTTGATAAACGATTTGAGAACAACCAAATCTATGGCGCACCAAGTGGTTAACCAGTTTTACTAGAATAAATACTTTCGAATGAGAAAAACCAATGTAGGAAAGCTGTGGAGTTGAAAAACTTGGCTGTCACAGACTTTAAACGCTCACAAGTATATTATGTACAATCTGTGACAGAAATATTTTACTCTCCACAGCCTTCGTACGTCAATCTTTGGAGAAAAAAAATTGTTTAGTTCAATATAATAGGTGCAGCAGTTTACGAAGCATCGATTCGATTGTTCTTGATACATTTATCAAGAATATTATAATGCATTTTGCAAAAAACCAAAATTTCAACTAACGCTTAAAACGTGTACTCTGACGCAGTTGGTTATAGAGTGATCGTATGATTATTATGTAGATGTCATACAAGTGGTTTTTACCACCTATTTTGCGCAGATAACCCAGTACATCGGAGAAATGTGCCGGTACTTGCTGTCCGCGCCGGCCCGGCCCGAGGACTCGGCTCACAAGGTCAGACTGATGGTCGGCAACGGCATGAGGCCGCAGATCTGGCAGAGCTTCGTCAACAGGTTTAAAATCGAGCAGGTGAACGAGGTGTACGGCTCGAGCGAGGGCAACGCTAACATCGGTAAATCCTCGATTCTTACAATTTATTGTGATACTCCGGTGCACCTATGGGGATGAAAAATACACGTACGTGGTGTGATTGCAGTGAACGTTGACAACACCGTGGGCGCCGTAGGCTTCGTCCCGTCAATATTACCAAAGTCGCTGCACCCGGTCGCGATTATCCGAGTCAACCCGGAGAACTGCGAGCCTATCCGAGATTCGCGTGGTTTCTGCATCAGAGCCCAGCCAAGTGCGTATACATATATACATATATCATACTCGAATTAACTAAACAGGAGAGACTCATTTTTTTGTTTGCATCTCAGACGAGCCGGGCATGTTCATCGGCTTGATCAAGCAGGGAGACGCCGCGAGGGAGTTCAACGGCTACTTGGATAAGGAAGCCTCCAAGAAGAAGACGATAGAGAACGTCTTCATAAAAGGCGACAAGGCGTTCCTTACCGGCAAGTCGTCCCTTTTTGTTTTTGTCTTTACCCATGACATCTTGGCATTTATTTGTTGAAACACAAATTCTTGATCTTGAAAAACTAAACGTCACCTTGTACGAAAATTGTACCACATGTAATTATTGTTATAAATAAATATGTACAGGTGACATCCTGGTGCAAGACGTGTACGGTTACTTCTACTTCAAAGACAGGACGGGGGACACATTCCGATGGAAGGGCGAGAACGTGGCAACTGCCGAGGTCGAGGGTGTAGTCAGCAACGTGGCCGGATACAGGGACACGACGGTCTACGGTGTCCAGGTATGACCGTTTTTTCCAGACAAGCATAGGTGGTAAACACGCAATGATTTTACATACATATTAAGTGCAATCATTCGAAATTACCTCGAAACGTCAATCCGATTCAATATTTTTTTTCAACACTTTAAGTATAAAGTTCAACTTCTAGTGCCTGTGCAAAGTGATTTTTTTTTTTTCGTGCACTGTGGCACACGAAGCATTATTATTATTTCATAGCAAAACTCGGGTAGGAATCACGATCTTGGTACATAGCACGCTATTTTTATTATTATTATTCAAGGCATACATNAATACTAAATGTTAATTGTTCATACGGTTGATTATCTAATTTTTTATTTTCTAAACTTTATTGCGATAAACATGATTAGAGTAGCAGCTTAAGCGAGATTACATAATAAAATACTCGTAAAAAAGAGTACAATTTTCAAAGTAACAGTTTTACTGTGGCACACGAAGCATTATTATTATTTCATAGCAAAACTCGGGTAGGAATCACGATCTTGGTACATAGCACGCTATTTTTATTATTATTATTCAAGGCATACATTGCGTTTATCCAAAAAATCCAACTAATGAAAAATGCCCGACGCAACAAACAGGTGCCGGGGATGGAGGGCCGAGCGGGAATGGCGGCGATAGTCGATCCCGAGAGCTTGCTGGACTTCAAAGCGCTGGCCGAGGGTCTGGACAAGGCTCTACCGTCGTACGCGCGGCCGATATTCCTGCGGATCGTCAAGGAGCTCGAGCTCACCGGCACCTTCAAGCTCAAGAAAATCAACTTGCAAAAGGAGGGCTTCGATCCCAACAAAATTCAGGACAAGGTGTACTTTAGGTCCGGCAACAAGGAGTACGTCGAGGTCACCCCGGAAATCTACGAGGAGATCATATCCGGCGCGGCGAAGCTGTAAGGAAACTCTCATCCGGATGGATGAACGGAAGACCCACTGATGGCACCTTATTGCGAAAGAAAAGAAAAGAAAAAAAAATGCAAGGAAACACCGACTACGGGGAGGGAGGGATCAGCGACTACGTGAAGGACGTAAAAACTCTATATACACGCGTATGAGAAACAGTGTACAATTTATATACATAAACACAGACCCCACCGTGTATAAAAAAAAAAAAAAAAAAAAAAAAGTATGTCCTTCTTTATACTCTCGCTCGGCAATTTAAGTTTTCGTGGCATGTTACCTGTACAGTGTGATTCATTCCACTTTAAAAGACGACAAAATACAAGTGATGGAATGGAAGTTGAGGAAAAAGTGTAACACGTGCATGAGCGGATGTTGTAAAGGAAATTCGTTATGTTAACTAGGTAGCAGTTTTTTTCGCGCGAGCACTGCTCTGTTGTGTTTTTCGACTACTAGAGCAGCTGTCAATGATTTGTGCAATTTCTCGTTTTGAAAATTATGAGGTAATTAGATAAATAGGGGGAAAATTGTCAAAAGAGCATTACGCGAGTTCTATGATTTAGTAAAACTCGGAGCTTAGACTCGCGTAGCCATCTATATCTTTATAGTTGAGTGCACAATGGCAAAGATTTCGATCGAGAAGATGTATAAATACTATGTACATTTTTTCACCTTTTCTTTGTTTTCTCTCTCTCTCTCTCTTTCTTTTCTATCTCTCGAAAGAACCTTTTGCTGACGCAATCATGACGTGCATTATTATTATTATTGTTTTTTTAGCATTATACGTTGAAACTATTATTATTATTATTATTGTTTTTTTTTCTTTTTTTTTTTTTTTTTTTCGTACTGCGCATGTACACGCGCGTGTGCACGGAAGATTTTTGTAACTTTGCTTATCGTTGCAAATTATTATTATTATTGTTTTTTTAGCATTATACGTTGAAACTATTATTATTATTATTGTTTTTGCTGGGCTTGAGGAACAATGACATCGTCTACAACCCGATTCCCTTGTACCACATGTCCGGAGGAATAGTAGGTACTAAAGTAATTTCATTCTAATCGATGTGTAAAGTTAAAGTATAGATCTGAATAAAATTTTTTTTCATTTTAAATATAAACTCTTCAAGAGATAAAAAATATATTTTCGCTCTCTATAAGATATAGTAAATAATAATCAATATTAATAAAATAACGTTACATCGTAGATAATAATAATAGAAGCTTACCGTTTAAGTACAGCAAAAAANAAAAAATGGCTAAACGGATCATGGCTATTTTATTGGCGTACATTATTTACATAATATATATAAATTAACATAATTGAAATATAAACATCGCCAACTGGCACAGTTTGGTCGAAAGAGACGATTCGACATAGCTTGGCTCGAGGCTCGGGCGGATGAAAAAAAATAAAAAACCTGAATTTTCGTTGAAATTACTGAACAATGAACAATTCAGAATAAAGTTTTTTTTTTCATGAAAATATAGCCCTTTGACCTGTGAAAAAACAATACGAATTTTTGTAAAACGTACACATTAAATGAATTTTACTAAAAACAAAAATAAGTTTGAATCACGAATTTATTGTCGTTCGATATTATTGCGAATAAACGGGTATCTTGCGAACGTCTGTAAATATCTGTAAAACAATAAAAAATGTCATTATCAATGTGTCGAATAAAGAAAAAAAAAATAAAATAAAAAATAGTTGAAGAAAAGGAAACGAGGTTGACTTTTTTTCGACAAAATACATTTTACACGTAAATTGATAAATGACTGTCAGTGAGTCTGCAATTGCATAAGTGTAACATATTTCGTCGGAAAAATGCAAACCTTTAGAGTGCAGGTGCTGAAAAATTTGAATGCATTAAATAAAATTCAAAAGAGTTTTTGCGTGGGGTTGTAGGATTTTCTTATGAGTATCGCGAGTGAATAAAATAATTTTTTGTAGGTGATTACAAATTTTTGACCCATCATAAGGTACACAATTAAACATGTAAAAAGAGCTATTGATTCTGAAAAAAGAGATAAAATAATGATTAATCAAATTCAATGACTGTCAATGGATATTTACCTTTTATTCGAAAATTGGAGTGGCAAAAAAGATCGATACATTTTTTTAAATGAGGGAAAATGACTAAATCGGTCGATTGATGAGTGGGGTATACCAGATGGTTTTTGTCAATAACCACAATAAATAACTTCTAAAAATTAAATCAACTGTATTTATTATATTATACAATAAATTGCGTCAAAAATTTTTCGGCTGTTGTCAGACAATTTATAAAGAAAAAAAAAATCAAGCTACTGATAACTATAAATGCGAACGTATCACTTGAGGGAGCTTTAGAGCATTAATAAATAAGATCACTGTATGAAAAGAAACGACTGAATGTTGCGTGTATGAATTTGTTGACATTTTTTGTTGTATGTAAATAAAGAACAATTAAAATCATGAGTCCATTTTTCTTATAATTTTTTTGAATCTCCTACATAATTATTACATTGTATACAATGTATATCCTAAAAATTTAAGTATTAATATCATCTATTAATTTTTAAGCTGCAATACTAAATGTTAATTGTTCATACGGTTGATTATCTAATTTTTTATTTTCTAAACTTTATTGCGATAAACATGATTAGAGTAGCAGCTTAAGCGAGATTACATAATAAAATACTCGTAAAAAAGAGTACAATTTTCAAAGTAACAGTTTTACTATCACTACTTATTGTTATCACTAATGATGTCAATGATTTCTATAAAATACACTTAAATTATGGCATTTGTTTGTTTTTTTTTTTTTTTNCGGATAAAATAATTGGTCCATTACCGTACAATTCACCTCATCTCAACAAATTATAACTCAAATAAACAAAACAACTTGAAAAAATCCATTTTTTGTGAAATGATCAGTATATACTTGTTTTTGCTTCCGCGATACCATGTCAATTCTTGGCAACCATATAGTATGTACACGCAATAACTCACGTTCAAGTGGAAATGGGCATCGGCTAGTTGGTTTTGCAGTTGTTTTATGCGAAGCATTTTAGCCGACGAAACGCGTTGGTCTATTGCGCTTATTACAGGCGGCTTGGCAGTGTCGGGTGGGTTAAATCGCGTGACGTTGGTGTAAGGACTAGATCCGGCTGAAAATTTTTTTTTTTTTTTTTTTTTTTTTTCGTTACAACAAAAAAAATTATTAAGCATGAGTTTAACAATTTTTCAAGTACACCTTCGAGAGACATACGGAAAAAATTTACAATAAGCCACGCCGATCGATTATCAGCTGGGCGGGATGGCCTTGGCGGTCTGTCCCATGCCCAGATTGGGTCTGGTGCCGAACCACGACATCTTCCACTCGAGCGTCTCTTGCAGCAGTTTCTCCTCCTCGGGCGAGAAATGCAAGAGCGTCGCCACTGCTCTCGTCAAGTGCAAGGCCTAAAATTAAAAAAAGAAAAAAAATCGGTTCCTCCCATCGTCTCACGCCCTATACGAATCGTAAAATAACTAGTATAAGAGATAGGACATCGAACCTCGTACTCGCGGCTGGTGAGGAACTTTATGAGGACGTGCTTGAGGTACACAAAGTTGATATCGTCTTCCCTGGAATTGTTTTGCTTGGCAGTGACGGTTTTGGACGAACTGGGGTTAAGAATGGCTGCGGAAGCTGCTGGCTCGAGGTCACTGTCCAGCGACGACGAGGGCACTCGCAGCTCTCGGTGGAGGGTCTTCTTCATGTCGGCCAGCCGCTGCTGCAGAACTTTGATGGTCTGGAGATAGAATTCGTCGTGTGTAAGCTGCGTTAGTCTACGATCTAACTTAATTTTAAGTCTTAGTTGTAAATTAGCATTATCTGGTTATTCGCTACGTTATAATTAAACTCGATTAAGACTCGTGAGTTCAACCATTGCTATGCCATATTACGTCGAGTTACTTTTTAATTTTTATTTCATATTAATTTGTGAAATGAAAGAAGGTTTCGTTCTCAGTGAATTTACTCCAATGAGAAATTTTTACTCAAACAATGATTGATTGGTCGAGTAATATTTACTCATGAAAATTTATAATAGTATTAAAGGAAAAAATACTTATCTTTTAAATGATAACTTAAATTTAATTTACAAGAAATGTCCTTTAACACTTAATAATCTACAGCCAAGTTGGGGTAACAATGTAAATACAAGAATCTTCTTAAGCTATACATACTAAAATAAGCCCGTGTACCTTGTTTTTCTCGTTCAGCTGCTCTTCTAGGTCCAACAAACTCATTTTCAAAGTTTTCTCGTTGCCTTCCATTTTTTCGTGATCCAACTTTGCTTTCTCGAAATCGTTAATCCTCAATAAAGCCTCATCCAGCTTTTTAGTTATGTCTGCTAGATCTTTGGTCTTATTTTTCAAAGTATCCGCCAAATTATCCAATTGATTCTGCAGCTCCGCATTTTCCAACTCCTGCGTTTTAGTTTCCTGCTTAGCGATTTGTATCTCCTGGGATATCTTGGCGGTCCTGAGCAATGCCGAGTCCTTTTCAGTCTTTTCCTTTTCGAGACTTAAATCCATGTTGATTTTTATCGCTTTTTCAGATTCCAGTTCCGCCTTTAGCCGATCGACTTCTGATTGCAGCGTTAAAATTTTTGATGTCTCTTCTTCGTAAACTGACTTCATTTCGGCTAGTTGCACTTCTTTGCTGGCAAGATCACTTTTTGCTTCTTCTAACAGAGCTTTTTGTTCGTCGGCTTCTCGCGTCCTTTGCTCCTGATCATATAAAGAGACATTTCAGTACGACAATCGTCTTTTCTTATTTCTTTGACTATGTACAGATTTAATAACAAAAAAAAAAAAATAATAAATACAATGTATTTATTATACTTATAAAATTATCATAAAATTGAACTGAGACATAATATACGCAGTGTAAAGTGTGATTGATCGTAAACATTTCAACACAACAACGTTGAAAAAAATACTTGTAAGGTGTAACTAATACATTTATTATTGGAGCCAAAAATGGTAACTACAACAGTGTGATCAGTAAAAGTTTGTATATTTGAAAATTCATTATTTGTGTACAATGATTGGTACTATATTATTAAAAAAAAAAAAAAATTAATAAAACAAAATACCATTGCTGGAAAATAACTTGTTAGGTATTAAAAATAATTTTGGTTTTTGTGTTACGACGCCATTGTAGATGAAAACGTATATTACAAGGTCAATATCATTAAATCTATTAATAAAATTGTCTTAATTTTTAATTAGTGTAAAATTAATTAAATTACGAATAAATTTAAAAACTGGTTATGCCTAAAAAATAAAAAAACTTAATCAACATCTTTGGTCTGGACGAATTAGACTTTTTACTGGAAAATTTTTTCAAAGTACAGTATAACTTCCATCCATCCATATAAGCACGTGTATACGACGCGTAGTGAAATTGCACTGTGGAAAAAGACTAGTTAGCAGCAGATATCTCTTGCCGTAAATTTAAAATTCGATGGTTGACATATAAATTTCACATGTACCTTCAATTTTTTTTTTTTTTTTTTTTTTTTTTGAGATGCCAATGTAGAATCAACTGAACTACCTTATTTTTGTGTTTGTCATAATGGATTCGTATTATTTATTCATTATTTATTATTATTTGATTTGATGAAATTTGGTAAGTACATCCTATCTTAAATTTTACGTGGTAATGTATACTGATATTATAAAGTTTAAAAAAATGTGTGCCCCTTGTAAGACCTTAGATCTACTGCTGTGCCATCTTAATATATGGCGTAAAAATGACAACATAATCTTAAAGCTTGATTTTTGAACATGTTAATAGGTAAAATTGTAAAGAACACTAGTTGACTGTATTTCTGTTGATACATGTCTTTATCAATTGGGATCACTTATTGGAGATATACTATTACATCTACTTTTCTAGCACTACAGAGTAACTTTTGTTACAAAACTTTATCATGTCATATTGAGGTACTGTTCTTTGTACATGCTAAAAAACAAAATTATTATCAATACTGGTTTTTCGTATCATTGTTTTTACGATTTTACACAACAGCTGCTTTATAAACACAAATTTGTTTGTTTATTCAACCGATTTTTGTAAAGAATTATGCCAAGAACACCGCGTTCTCTTCCACGAGTCCAACACTTTAAGACTATAGTCTGAAGTTTCTTCGAAATTTCAAGTCGAAGATTATTAGGTTAGAAGAATTTCCTTTTAGATCTCATTTGTCCAGACTACTTTTATTGAATAACGAAAAATAATACATAAAATTTGGTTGTACATAGTGTGTCTTGACAATGCTACATTTTATATGAATTAAATGTGTACAAAAATACAATAAAGACGTACCTCTAAAACAAATACGTCATGAAAAAAAAGCCATTACAATAATAACTTACGAATCTATAATGATCATGCTTTTGCGGGAAAATAATATATATATATGGTAAACAACATATACTGGAGTACAATAATACGACAAGAAACAATTGAGAAAAAAAAATTAAGGTCTAAGCGCAAAGCAACGAAAGCACGTGCAATTAAAGCAGTCCTGCAATGTAATCAAATTGTCATTACATAAATACCAGCAAAATACATGAGGTAACTGGCTACTCTTTCATAAAATAGTTCGGAAAAAAATACACGTAACGTCTGTATGCTATAAGGCACAAATCGTGTGCATTCGCGGCTCTGGACGGGCTTATTGGAATGCAAAAATCACGGTCGGCTCGGTGAAAAACGCTCAAAAACAGTTTGGAAACGGCGCGTTGAAGAGAAACGATTTATTGGAGCGCAACGACAAAGTTCGGGTGTGCCCATTCGGAATCAGAAACCATACGACAATTCAGAATCCATGCACGCGTCGACAGGAGACAAAGAGAGCCTCGCCGGCAAGTCTCTCACGGAAACTTCATCGTCTCGCGGTAACTCACAATTTGCCGCTTGTACTCGTCGACCTCGTCGTCGACGTTGGCCCGGAGCTCTTTCAGTTCTGAGGCCATTTCGTCGATGTCCTCGGTCATGCGCAAAAGCTTAGCATCTTTTGTCGCCATTACAACGCTCGTCACCTCTATTTCGGTCTCGAGGTCCTTTATCCTCTGGCTCAGCGTCTGCTTCTCCTGCTCGACTCTACGTCGCTCCAGGCCTTCCTCGCCCGCCTGCCTGCTCAGTCTGCCGACTTGGGTCTCGAGGCTCGATATCTTGGCCGACCAACTAGTTTTTATGTCCGACAAGTGCAGGTGGGCCTCTTCGAGCTTGCGCTCGAGGAGCGCTCGCTCGCGCATCAGATCGGCTATGCGGTCGTCCACTGTTATCTCACTGTTTCCCGATTCCAAGGATACCCTCTGCTCGAGGAGGAACAGCTTGTCCTTCAAGTGTCTCACTTCCTCTTCTGTTTGCGCTAATTGGCTAGACAGCCGAGCCTTTTCGCGCTGCGTGGAGTGACGGAGCGATTCCATTTCGTCCTGGCATCGAAAAAATGATGCGGTTAATGGCAGTGGAGGGAAAATGAGGAGTTAAACGTGCGGCGAAAAAACAACAACTCCTCGGCCCCAAAAGCGCGCCCTTATCGGCTTGTCGAGCGGTGATAAGAGGTCACTGTATGCTTGTACCGTAGCTCGGTGAACTTTTGCTCTTATCGCTTTTGTTGTGTGCCTTCGATTTAGAAGCAAAAATGTTTTTTTTTTTTTTTTTGTGTAAAATAAGCCAGTAACAAAACAAACAAAAATATAACACAACGACCAACCGAATTCATTGATAATAAAAACTGTGGTTTTGCAATTCGTTGAGTTAATTTCTAAATTTTGACGCTCAAGTATCGTAAAAAAATTTGTATAAAAACGCAAAAGAGTAGCAGCCAAGCTGTAAAGACGTACCTCAATGATCAGCAGTAGCGTAGCGGTAAGTAAGCGGCAACACCCCGCTCGAAACATACTCTCCAAGATTCTTGATGATCAAACCGAAATCGGATTTTCATGCTTTTTTTATCACACCAATGATTTGCTCAGCTACAAATTTTATGATCCACAACCGTTAAATATACTTTTGTCAGAATTGAGAGATGTGTGGACACGCACATTATTACTTTCTAACGAAAGCAGATTAATTTTACTTGAGCTCTGACAAAATAAATATTGGAGCGATGGATCATGAATGGCGTAGCTTTGATGTGATGTTTTCGGACATTCACGAATGTGATGTTAAAGCTAAGAGGTAAGGCTTTCAATGTGGTATAAGGCACAAACGAAAAAGTGCAGAGAAGACACACTATGACGAAACTCAAAGCAATGTTGTGTAACTTAAAATAATAAAACGCTTAAAAATAAATTCCTTGCCTAGACTGACATAGCGATTTTGAGAATGTATTGTACTATTGGAACAAAAACGTGGTAAAAATAGTATGCTATGCAACAAGTGCACATATCTGGTGACTGTCATGCGAGAATCACTATGTGCACGAGTTGCATACTTATACTACACTAGAACATTCAGTGGATTTCAACTTTAAAAGTTTTTTTTGCAATAGCAGATATGTAAAAATCAATACCTTACACAAAAGGGTCAAAAATTATTTCTTTCAAAGTGCAAAATGAAGGCTAATAGTGTTTTAATTGATGTAGTGTATATACATGTACAAAAATGCTAATTAAACACATAAATGAAAGAAATGGACTAATAAAAATGTTTTGATAAATCAATCAAGAAATTCGTGTGGACTTGTACAGAAGCAGAATAATTAGATAAAATTGTTTTTTGTTACTCACTTGCACATTGTTCAGTTCGTCCTCGTATCTCCTCAGTCTAGACAATTCCATTTTTAAGTTATCTATTTCAGTCAGTGCTGTTTTTAATAACTGAGATTTATCTTCAACCTCGTGTTCTTTCGAAAGTAACTGTAAAAATTTACAGTCAGAGTCTACACGAATATAATGAAACATCCACAAGTATAAGTAAAATGGAAAAAAAATCTTACAAGATGCTTAATTTTAGCCAACTCTTGATGCTGCAGGCCTTCCATTTGTTCTACATCTTCTTGAAAACTACACAACTTCTTCTTATATTCTGAAAAACAAAAATTACATGACAACAGTTTTCAGCTGAACAAACACGACAGTTGAATAACAAGTCTAACCCAGTTAGCTCAATACCTTCCGCATTGTTCAGAGCAACTTCCAGTGCGGCCTTCGCGCTTTCTGCCTTTTGCCTATCCTCAACTAGCTTAGCTTTTTCCTTTTCGTGCATGTCGATAATTTTTTTCCACTCCTTTTCCGTCTCTAGCATTTTGACTCTATGCTCTTCCTCCTTCTTTTCCATTTTCTTGAGAAACTCAGTTTCCTTTTTCTGCAATCTTTTTCTCCACTCATCCTCTCTACTTTCCAGCCTTTTGATAGCTTTGGCAGAAAGAGGAGTTCCATCCTCGAGTTTCAATTCAAAACTGTTTTCCCTCTTGAGGCGATAGGAAAGCGAGGGGGATACGTTATTTTCCTCTCTAATTGTTTCGTCCAGTGAAATTTGAGAACTGCTAATACTACTTCCTGAACCAGCCTGTAATCAATAAAAACATATTCACACATGACAAAATCCCAACAATCTAAATATAGAACCCACTAAAATGTAACACCACAAACTTTACTCGACGGAATGTACAAGTACCTGTGACAGATGCCTGTTGAGGCCACGGACGCTTCCAGCGTTCCTGATAACGGCGGACACGTCACTGCCGATCTCCTCCTTAATCTTGTTCTTGAGGGTCGCAAACATTTTTCTCCTCTGACAACTGCTCCCGGAGCTTTGACGTCGAGTAGAGTGCACTGCTGTGCCTGTACGAATAACAGGCCAGCCAGGCCAGCTAACAGCACTGCACAACCACCTGTCAACGTGACGCGTAATCGTCTGCAGGCGAACACGGTGGCCGCGAGGATGTGGGGTTGAACTTACTTTTTTTGACGTTAAAAGCCAAACAAACAACTTACATCAAGAGAACGACTTCACACCCACAAACTGATCAACGATTCGAGAGCTTCAGCGCAATGTACGTTTTCAGTCATCAGCAGCATTTACTATGTAAACTGGTCGTCAAACTTAATACACCATCAACGAGACCAGGTGTAAACAACAAGGACGCGGACTTGCTGCACGACAACAGGGAAGAGGTGGAAGCTTCGGCTCCTGCCGCACTGCCATGTTTTTATCTTTCAGTCTGTACTTAATAAGTACACCGTTCACTCAAATGATACTTGCACTTACTTAGGTATGTATTACTTTTTACCAAGTACTATCTATTCAACACACGAAAAGGAGGGCTTACGTGTAAGATAAAAAAACAACTTTCTGTGTACTTACACGACAGACAATTTATCGCATCAGCGGAAGAGTCGGAGGTCGGAGGAGGGCGAAGAGAGAGAGAGGGGTGCCGCGCGCACGAGAGTGAGACACGCCCACGCACAGTTATGTGGTTGGTTGTAGCGGATTCAGCGGGAAGTGCGAACGCTCGTTGCTTAGAGAATCGTTATCATCACGACGAGACAAACAAGATGAGCTTGAAGAGGAACTGGAAGCCGGCGAGAATCATAAGGATCCACATGATCGCATAGATAATTTTGTAGGTTAGGGCGTTGCAGAGGACAATAACGATAAGGGCGAGCAAGACCTTGATCACCGTCTCGATTATTTCGCGAGACATATTCCCCAATACTATTAACTATCCTTTGAGTTACGTGGAGAAATCTTGATGAAAGAGGTTAACTGCAGTGTCTTCTTTGTGATTGCCTGCATTATGGCCAGAAAGTAGGTACGAAAAACACACTTCACGTAGAGAGAGGCATATGTTTTTTCAACTTTGCTAATATAAAAGCAAAACAATGTCGTTTTTGGTTCTCAGGAGATTAGGCGTCACATCTGCTGTACTCTACACTTGAGAATTCAAAATTTTCCGCATTCTGGTAATATTTTTAAAACTAGGCATAACAGAGCGAAAAACCCTAGCAGTGCGAATTTAGTGAAATTAAGCACCACAAGGTTGTCAGAACTGAGCGGTTCAACCGTCAACAAGGGCGCTCACAGGGCTCGGAGCATTGGGGATTGGGGAATGTGTTGTCTATGGTGTTATTTTAAAAACCGCGTGTACATGGACAATTAACCAGTGCTCTGGTTGTGCCCGTCAACAGTGACAACAGATAATTGAGTTTTAAGTGTCTTACTTTCATCTGTCAAGATCACTGCAGTTGGTTAAAATATAAATGAGTTGCGTCTGCCTGTTCTTTCTTCCGAGACCCCAAGTCAAAAGTGTTTAAATATATGAACAAAAGGCTGTACCATGGCGTCGTACTATCCGGACGATACGACAGCTTCGGTCAACGGTTTCGAGATGTAAGTGTACACTTTTTACTGAATTTAGTACACAATAGGTATTTATTTTCGCACGCATGAACTTAAATGGTCTGTGCGTATATTTTTAAGCTTTGACTGTGTATAAATGTGTTAATATTATGTGCTTATATTTATACACAGTCGCGTTATTCCCTTGGCCTGGCTATGCAACAGCTCTCCCCCGTGTACTTAGCGTGCTGTCGTTATTTTTACTCTCACTTGGACCGTTCGTATACTTAACTGCGACGACGATGGCGGACGATGGTGACAACAATAACGCGTGGGAGATAAAAATGGCCAAGAGGCAACGATACCCTGCTTTTTTTTCGTGATCTCGAGTTTTCTGGACTGCTGTTGATAACACGTTTATTTTAATGCCGAGATGAATTGCTATAGTCCGGTCCATTTGGCGTTCAGATGCGTTGTTTTCCTCGTATATATGGATGATTCCGCCGCAACTGATGCGGACGATGTGCACTGATAGTGTGCGCTTAATGAGGTGAAATGCATAAACGTTAAGGCCAATATTTACGTAAAAATTTAGGCTCTTTGCTCCGATCACAATAAAATAGCATTTGAAGTCGTCATGATGATCAATTTGTCACTTCCTTAGGGTATAAGTCAATAACCTTAGGGTAGGTGTCGATCTATCGCCACCAATATTGCAACCGAATTCTTTCATTTCATTTTATTAACAAAATTGAGTCAAAAAGCAGTGCATCACCCTTTGGGCCTTGAATGGTTCGATACCACCATGTATCAATAAATTTTTAAACTACTGAATACAAGTAAACAGTCTCAAACTTCATCCTGCGACTTATATAATTTTTTATGGTACGAAACAGAAATTACGTTTTTTTTAGCAAATATGTACCATATCTTATTTATTTATAAACGATTTTAATTGCTCCTCTACTTTTTATAACCACTGTGACTTTTGATTGGTGGCACTAAATAAATTAAACCGGGTAGGAGCACTTCTATTATACAAACAGCTTACTTACTGGTAGAATCGCTTCAAATACTTGTTGTAGATAGTATTTGACATTAAAATATCATGAAAAACAATTTTTTCAACAACTTTTCTTTCAGAACTATTTCCGAAGTCGTTTTAAGTCAGTTACGACGGAATCACCTCTATATGTACGTTAATTTCGATATTACCGTCACTATCTTGCAAAATTTTTTTTAAATTTTTTTTGTGTCAACAGTGTACGTACTTACAATACTGTAGATTGTTGTTGACAACTGATGAAGTCAATTACAAAATATCAATTCGTCATGAGACGCGTGGGGGAGGTTTTAGTTCCATTTATTGCCGCATGATGCTTTTTTACATTGTAGAATGGCGCTAAATTTTCGCGGTTTTCTTTTGAACTCGTAAAATGGTAGAGGTTTGGCCGTTCTCGATATGCGCGTGAGATGGAAAATCGCAGAAAACCTACCCGCCCCTTCGTTATTTTTCCGATATTAAAATTTTTATACGTTGTTTATGTAATAATAAACAATGTGTATCATTTTTGGCGGGGCCTTCGTTCTGGATTTCGAGTTATGAAATTCAGAAGTCGCACTTTGGCCGTTCTCGATATGCGCGTGAGATGGAAAATCGCAGAAAACCTACCCGCCCCTTCGTTATTTTTCCGATATTAAAATTTTTATACGTTGTTTATGTAATAATAAACAATGTGTATTATTTTTGGCGGGTCCTTCGTTCTGGATTTCGAGTTATGAAATTCAGAAGTTGGAATGAGTTGGAAGTTAGCATAGGCACATATATGATATTTTTTGGTCTGGGTATAATCATGGAAAATTATTATTTTTACGCCTTATATATATGATTGGCAGTGTCTTATGCTACTTTTAGTTGTTCTGTTTCATTTTTGCTCTATTTTAAAGTGATTAATTTAGTTATCAAATTTCGTTCCCAGAACGTTCCGAACTTCAGTGTCATTTTTAGTTTCAACTTTAGCCACTTCATTTACTTTTGCAAGGACTCTTCGGCGCTAATAGTCGCGTCTCATGACGAATAGTGTTTATAAGCTTTGATTATAATTTAAACATTCTTACAATGGATGAGAACATAACTATTTTTTCACGCAAGTACAGAAGTATTTTTGCTGTTCAGTTAGTCGATCATTTTCAGAACGTAAATTATTGATTTTTTTTTTTTTTAATTTTACGATGGTATGATTTTTTTTCTTTTTTATAATCTACTTAGTGTATGAATTACAATTGGAGTTTTGGTAACATCTATTATAGTTATATTCCACATTATTTTTAATTGGTATAATAATACAGATCATAGTGGTCGCACTGAATATGGCTGTATTATATTCAAACTCAATGGCCTAATGAAGCTGAAACTAGCAGACAAATTGCAGTAGCGATACCGTCAAATAGTAAATTCTACCTTGCTACCCTTAAAACCAAAATGGGTACCCCTTTATTTTGCTAAATTCAAAAGGTACCTGGTCTAGTTTTAAAAATAGAATTTGTCATTTGACCGTATCGCTGGTGGAATGTGTCTGATAGTTTCAGCTTCATAATGGCCGAGATAATGGCCTAATATATGTATTCGTCAAGATAATTTTGTCGTTAATTATATAAAATTATTCCAAATATTCGTGATGAATTGGCGTTTTCCAGGTGAGTGCACATTTTTATATCAACTTTTGAAGTATTCTAATTGCAATTTTCTTTCAATTCAAAAATAAAATACATGGTTATTGAATTGTAGTGGATTTTCCTGTTAACGTTTTCGTTGGCCATTATTTACATTTACAAATTCACTATGCATACATTGTATTTCAGAAAGTGTGTGTAACATCAGGTTGACAATTTTTTCACTCGTTTGAAAAATTATTTTGATTCCATGGTACAAATGCTCAGAGTTACAATCGGTTTATTGAAATAATAGTCATTTCAAAGCATTCATTAAAAATGACGAAAATTCCGGTTTACTCATGAAACTCCCTATAGGAGGTAAATGTATGGTAATCGAGAACAAATGAGATTCGTCATTCTTGACTACACCATATTCATGTTACGTACCTTTTATCGAAATGATGAATCGGGACACATGCACATTGGAAATATATGTTGCCAAACCCATTAAAATTTTTATAGCTTTCTCTGATTCGTCGTAAGGTTCGAAGTAACAAAAAAGGTTTTAAGTTTGTCTAAGACTTTGATCGACATTGCGATCGTTTGTTAAGTCACTTGTTCATTTTAATAAGTACGAAAGAGATAAAATATCATTGTCTCGCTTGCACTTATTTAAATTACCACGTGACTTAACAAATAATTGCAAATCACTAACAGCGTCGAATTTATATTATTCACATAAAACAAGCGCTAAATTTAAAAGTTTTAAATCTGAAACAAATATTCTTGTTTGTACTTAACATTTTCCTTTCTAATATAAAAGTGACGAAATCACGTTCAAAGTTTTGTGCTTCTATTTCAGAAATGACTATTTAAGAACAACAATTACCATTGTCCTCAACTCGTGTGATAACAAGTGTTTACGTATTCTTAGAATCGATTAAAGCCTTTCGAAAGTCATAATCAAAAAGTTTGACTATCATATGAGGATAAGAAATTGTTATCTTTACTCGAGCATCATTAAAATTTACAACGTAGTAGAATACCTCCGTTAATATTAAGTGATTTCTTTGGTAAAACGATTTTTAACACGAGAATGAAGAGAAAGTTCTAGACTTCGTTTATCTAATTTTTTAGATTTTATTTCCGTGATTGCCGATGAATTGGCGGATCTTGAAATAATAAGCCCCGCAGGCAACTTGACAGCAGTATTGGTGACTGCAGTTTATTGACCTGGTCTGATTCTTAACTGTTGCTGTTCATTTCACACATAAGTAGGGGGTAGGATTTGCTTCCACTTGTACAGAGTATAGATGAAGAAATAGTTCTTGACTTTTATGTAGTTAATTTCTATTAAACAATTCGAGAACATTCAGCTTTTCATTTTTCTCAAATTAAACATTCATTACTTAGTTGAACGGCTCTATGGTTAACGTGAATTCTGTATATTGCACTTAAGGAGTAAAAAAAATTAAGAATTCCACTAATAATAAGTATGTAGATTATGACCCGAGCCAAAGTCGAATTAGCAACTGCGTGAATTTCGAAATTTTATTGTAAAATTGCATCACTGCGTTAAAATTATCGGACTTTGGCTCTTTTGTTCAAATTTAAGCTGGCCGGTGTGGTCTACTACATTTGCGTTAACGTGTACAGCTGTGGTGAGCAATAAATCAAGAAGTCGCTGAAACTAGTCCACTACACACTCTATTCCGCGAAAAATCATTAGCTGTGTGGTTTAAAATAAATCTAAAAAAAAAAAAAAAATTAATTCCATTGTTTCCAGTCTCGATATCTTATGTTCTCGATATTGTATATGCAACGTTTTTCCGTAGTCCATAATCGTTAAGTTGTTTGTCCGTTGATAACAGCTTTTGACATTTTTTCCTAATCAATACTTTGAAAGCTAATCTACAGTTTGATGAAATAGGTTTGCTCATTAAGCTAATTACCTACTTTATTTTTGATGGCGTTTGATAGTTAACACAAAGGAAAAAAAAAAAAAAAAAAAAAAAAAAAAAAAAAAAAAAAAAAAAAAAAAAACTGAACTAACGAACAATGACCGCAATGCTTGTGCAAGTGAATACTCGAGGTGATTATAATTCCCTATTGCCTATGAGCTCTGTATTATCCTCTTCTTAATTATAAATAATTTAAAAAGTTTTTTACAAAAAACTCTAAATCATCTATGCATAAAATGTTGCAAGTAAGTATACGATTTCGACCACCTACATCGGTTAACCCGCCCTCTCGTCTTTGTGAGCGCATTAAGGAGGGCATGGAAGTAAAGAAGCCCGCCTGTATCTGCTTACATTAAGCGTTACTGCTGGCCTGAGGTCAATCAGGTCATCGCATAAACGATTCCCTCCCCGGGCCTGACGACCGAGAGATTTTCATACACTTACACGCACGACATTATTAGTTGGGGAATCTTTGCACAGGAATCTATGCGTGGAAACAAGGAGAAAAACTGTCTACCTACCGCCGATGCTTTTTCTCCATCTTTTGTTCTTACATGTAGGGAAAAAACCTACGTTTTTCCCCTCCTGTTCTCCAGTTTTCTTCATCTGGAATTCCACGGAATGATGTTCACAACCCCCATTGTCGTACGACTAATTTTTAAGTAGCATCAGTGCTTATTTCGTAAGTACTGCAATCGATCACCTCGGTATCTAATCCGTGCCATTCAAAAACAAGCCATTTGCGCTCCATAATTAATACAAAACTCCAACTAAATCCGCGTTAAGTATACCCCTTGGTTCGCAGATTTTTTGTTTCTCGATTTCAAAAACTCATGCAAGCAGTAGGTAAATATATGATATTGTATCGACCGACCCGTGTCTTGCGTCATTATCGTGATGTGCAATAGTTTTGAAAAGCATGAGCGGATTTCAAGTTAACGATAAAATCTGACGATCGCCAACAGTACTCGTATATGCTTTCCAACCCCCGATTGTCCACTCCAACTTAAAATTTCGTCCACATATCGTATACGGTCCAATTGAAAAACTGTTGTTTTTTCTGCTCAAACAGAAAAGCTGCTTCATCCCAAGAAAAAAGATGTGCCGTTCTTTTATTTTCTCTTCCTCCCTGATGGTACGTCATCGTCGGTCGTTCGATCAGTGGAGGGGGGGGGGGGGCTCGTCTTCACGTACACACATGCATGTACGTATATAAAATATATACTATTATAGAGCACGGCTGTGTGTGTGTGCTGCAGCTTGCAACGATATTATAGGCTCGACTGTCTCCCCTCCCCTTTCTCCGTCAGTCGTACCCCACGTTGAAGTGGCGTGTAAGCTCTTCGCTCCGTCTTTCCGTCCTCGTACTCGGCCATCAGGGGTACAACGCTCTGCTCAGTCGTTTCTGGCACGCCGTACCGTCCGCCTCGGCTACAATTTTTCTCCATCCGATTCTTTCACACGTGTCGGCAGTCCCCCCGTGCATGCAGTGCATCACATTGTATGGACACAACCCCCACAGTGGGACATCGCCAAGATCTGATAAATTAAAAAAAAGAAGGAAGAGGAAAGGCCACGCGGATAAAGTGTGCGGAGTCTGCGTGTACAGTTGCGGATCTCTCGTGTCGCACCCCGTGACGGAGTCTGCGTGGGAGACACCGTTTTTTTTCTTTTTTTTTTTTCTTCTTTTTGTCGGACAAAGTGATGAGTCAGGTCAGACCTTTGGTCAAAAAGAGGATTTTTTACGCCAAAAGAATGGTCAAGAAGGACAAACTGCTTTTTGTCATCATTACGCCCGACCTCGTCGCTTGACTCTGTTTTTTTTTCGTGCAGTGCGGGAGTGTTTGATATACCACTTCGACAATCTTATCTTTCGCACGGGAGGAACTTGGCTTCCGCGGACGATTCTTATCTATCGACAATTACAGAGTCGCTGTTTGTTGACTCAGTGCACATATTATAGTGTCGCTGTCTCTTTGAGTGTGCGTGCGTAACATAAGCGTGTGCTTTTCAAGTGCTCGTGCGTGCGCTCGCGAGAGTTGGGATTTTGGACAAGACGATCCTTTTTTTTTTTTTTTTTACAATTTTGTCAATCCGTCCGATTTCGCGTGTGGACATAGACAGAGGAACATTAGATTGGCCAAAGGGAAGTTGGTGCTAAAGTGCAAAGTGTGTTTTCGTGGTATTGATAACAAATATCAAGTACAAGAAACAGGACAAACGTAAAGAAAAGAGAAAGTAGTTGTTAAATATTGGTATTTTTAGAAAATAGTATTATAGAGTCGCGTCGGGTCTTCCTTTATCGAATTTCAATCGTATCAACATAAGATTGCGTACAATAATTTAATTATACATATATTACTATACTTACGTAGAAAGTAAGAATCCGTACGATTGCCAAAAATGTTGTCCAAAAGCTACGGTTATTCGGGCAGTCCGAGTAGCGTTCTATCGCCAAAGAGGAGTTTATGGGGCAGTTCTCGTAGTGCGTTCAAAAAGTAAGTATATATATGGATTTTTTAAAACAATTTTTACACAAATGTCATTGAATCGTGGGTATTTCACACCAACTTGTATAAAAAAATACCAAAGGTATGCGTTACGTCGACTTTTGGCACGAAGTACACTTAAAAAATTCAACTGCGGTCTTATAAATCACCAACGCCGCGTAATTTGCATTTTTGCCGAAATCTGAAATTTAAAATGCATAGCTGTAGTTTGATTAAAAATGTTCCATGGAATCCAAAAACAAAATCGCTATCTCGATCTTTTACAGAGCATGAATATCTTTGATTCAAAACTCAAAAGGAGTAAATGGTATATTAATAGTAGTACAGTTAATAATAAAAATTTTTTTAATCAAATCGATGAAAGGGATCAAAGTTTTTGAAACGAAAGGAAACACTCGAGTACTTGGCTCTAAAAATCTTGAGATTCACATTGTTGGTACTTAATATGCTCCCAAGCAAACAGCCGCGGAAGTAAAATCGTGTTTGATTCATTACCGATCTATAATATATTATGCACCTGCGAGCCTATATTATAATATATATGCAATGCAACACACCTGGTCGTCCCACGTGCAGCGCGCGGTATCGTGCTCGTGCACAAGTTTACGCGTACATAATATACACGCTCGCACACAGAAAAAATCGATTTAGGATCGATCTCTTCGTAAAAATCGTTCGTGTTTCCGCGTTTTTATATATACATCCCGTCGTCACAAGCGCTGTTCGCGTGGATAATCGCTCCGCCCACGCCAAAAATCATCGTCGCTTTATGTATGCACATTTGCAAAAAGAAACAAACGTCTCGCGCGAGAAAGGAAAAACAATGAGCTGCACCCACATCTTTGTATCTCGTTTGTTGTCGTCACCCCTTCCTCTTGGTAATTACACGTCTCGAATTGCTTATTTTCAATGCGCAAATCGAGCAATGAAATACGACGGGTTAACCGCGAGAGACGACAGATGAATGCGGGCTGGCTCCGTATACGTACCAACACGAGGCATTCCTCTGATTGGGATTAATTCGAAGAGATGATGGACGAGACTGTATAATTTCGGGGTAGTACCGACTTATTGGACGTCCTCCGCTGGTGTCTTGCATAATTAGAGTGCTCAAAGTATTACGTTCGTAGTTGTTTTTTTCCCCCTCTTGGTTTTGTGAAGAAAAAAGTCAACGAGGTTTTGGGAGGATGCGTAAGGTGATTTGGGACGCAGCAAAAACCGGTGAGTGCCATTGTGTATTAGTGTGTCGAAAGAAGAATACTTATCTATTTGGAGGGGATAAGAAAATCGGCTGAAGCGCCTGTAGCGGAGTACAAGTGAATCTATCTGTTATCTGTTAAGTCATTGCCGTAGCCTACATATAGCTATTATACAACAAAAATGACCTCCCGAAATGTCGAATACGGCCACTTGACATTCTCGTAACGAATATTACGAGAGCTTTAACTGCACGCGGTGGACATGAAAATATAAAAAAAGTCAAGTGCTCGTTTAACGCTATACATTATCTCAACACTGCGTCACATATGACGCGTGAATGTAACGTGTATACTAAATAAGTTTTTAAGTACGTATTATTATTATTATATTAAACTCAAATAGCTAGAGCATTTTCACATAATATGTGTTTCACTTGATACATTGCTGATAAATAGGCATACATTGAGGAAAATAATACATATTTTGACCTTGTATACTATTTTCGCCAAACAGAAAGGGCTATGCGGTGTGTTACATTTACGATAACTATTTTTTTTTTTTTTTCCTTTTTTTTACACCAACATTCGAGACTCTAGTCCAATCGCATCCTGCATACTATACATACAAGTGAAGTGCATGAAAAAAATAACAGAAAAGCAAACTACACATAGTACACATGACTTTTGCACGTTTCGATTCTATATACCCATGTACGTACACAAAACAGACACGCACAGCTGGACCAACGCTTGTATATACTTGCAATAAACCTTTCCTCGTCGTGGATATCGATCTTCTCTCCCTCTCCCCGTCGCACTTTTTTTTCATCTCTCTCTTTCTCTCCGTACAGTGACAGAACAGAGATGAAGAAAAGCAGCTGTACAACATATCCCGCTGGGCAGCTGCAAGTGTTAGTATACATATATCGTGTGAACATGCACGTGTGACGTCACACAGAGAAGTAGCTTTACTTTGGTGTGTGTGCGTGTGTGTGCTTGCATCGCGTGACCTGACCCCTGCTCTGCTCTCTCGTCTCTGTATATGTAATATATTCAGCTGCCACTTATTAACCATACCTATAATGTGTAAGCAAGAAAGAGATTTGGTACTTAAATGTATTGTTATACACGTAGACCCCGATGTCATTGCCAATGTTACGTATAGATATAAAGTCTTGGTTTTTGAGATTCGCCAAAAGCTCTCTTTATGACCTGTAAAAGCTCCCTCTCGGAGCAAACGCACTTGAAATCCAAACGCAGAGAGCTTCACTGCTGCTGCTATGATGCGCAAATTTTGTAGTTAAGTGTCTCAGGCAGGAGTGTCTATGTGTTGTGGTTGAATTTATTATTTTTTTTTTTTTTATAAATAATTTGTCCTTTTTCACTTTGATAAAATATATGTGCACGTGTGAAAATATCCCAAGGGTTCGCGCATGCGTCTCCCACTTGCGCTTATCTGCTGCGTGGATCAGAAACAGCGTAGTATTGCGTGCTTTTGCTCGAAGAATAAAAAAAAAAAAGCTCAAATTACTCTGTACTATGGATTTTTTTTTTTTTAACGAGATGCATAGTTTTGGTTCTTATGGCCAAGGCCATACGTGCGAAAAGGGAAAGGTAATTATATTTGTTGCAAGGGTAGGGATTTTTTAGATTCCTTTGTGTTTTCGCACATGCCACTGAGCCTCTGATAATCGATTTACGTTATTTTTTTACGGCTTACGACGACGGTCCTCCTCTCATTTGAATTTTGTTGATTTGTTTACAAAAGGTAACTTTATACGTGTAGTTCAATTCACGTTTTTTTGGCAAACCAAAGTAATTTCATTCACTCTCTTACACACGTTTGTAAATTTAAATAACATACTTCTATTATTAGATAAAACACTTGAAAATTATCACATGTTCTGCATCAACCAGTTACAAAATTAATTTTTTGTTGGACAATAGATCAAATAAAGTTTTTACTGTCTAGTAATTTATTGGAAATAATTTTTCCAATACAGAAAGCACATTTTCTATAATCGTGAAAATTAATTTAAATTTCAAAATGATATCTACTTAGCTCGAGCTATGAAGTTATAAAATTTTCCGAGTTTAAATTGAAAAAAAAAAAAAATTGAGGATGTGAAGTCTGAAGTAACTATATTGTAAAAGTGTCATCTCACGGAGTTTCGAGTTTTAAACACTTATACGGAACATAAGTTTATGGGTTTAAAAGGTGAAATCAAGAAGCTATAAAGTTTTACATATTACTCTACTTGATTTCGGAGGATTAGCTTTGCATGAAAATTTTTTCAGCAAATTTACTTTGTTTTTACCATCAATAACATGCAGATGTAACATAGTAACGTTAAAAAAAAAAAAAAAAAAGTAAAAAAAAGTTTTGCAAGAAAGAAACACAGTCCAAGTCCGGTGAAACAAAATGACTAGAAATTCTTGCGCAAGATGCGTATAGTGGAAGTACTTTTTCCTTTTTCCTGCCTTACTTTCGCCGAAAATCCTTCAGATCCCCACACGCGCACGGAACAAAGAAAGAAAGAAAAGTCAGCGAAATGTTTTGGACAGTGCCACACGTGCCCCGAAGCGGAGTAAAGTGTGAGAGACGCGCGTACATATGGACACACAGAGACATCGCAGCGGTAAACTTTATGGACTCTATACTCTGCTGCGGGAGCTTTTTTTCTCTCTTTTTCTACTGACAGGAAGTGCACGCTTACAGGCGTGCGACCACTTATTTTTAAACCCCCATGTTCTTTGGTTTCGTCTAGGCTTTTGAGCCCCTACGGATCATGTGGCACACATACACAACGAGGGAGGAAGAGATCGAGGGTACTCTCTCTCTCTCTTGTGGATTCGAGAGTTAAACGAAAAAAAAATCGTAAATTTCAGTGCATCTGCCAGATGAGGCTGGGTGGCAAAGTGCTACTGTTGAGTGTAGTACCTTCTTCCTGCGGATGTTGAGGGCTCGTCGGCCGATAACATTATATACGCATGCGTTTCGATTATCAACCTATACGTAATGGACTAGCACTGGCCGATGATATATCTTTATGGTTATTGTGACATTGCCATTGTTACCATTTTTTTCGTCTTTATTTAATTGTCACCGCTCCTAATTTGGATTAGTACGTATATTTTTCAGTTTCGGATAAGAATTGGTTTTGGTCTCTGGTAGTGTTTCAATTTTTTCTTTTAGTTTCTCTGCTTGTTTTGACGAACCCTGCGCTTATCCGACGTCTTTCGTTTGAAGTTGAAATATACAGTAGACAGCTAGGCTCGATAAAAAAGTTTTGAGAGTAGCTTCTTGTGCTTAATTTTACCTCATATACCGATTCGGTCGAGCTTGTTCAGGACATTATTTACTGTACAATAACCAGATGCACAACCCACGTAAGCAGAATGATCGAGCTGAATTTATGAACAGGGGCTTCAACAATAACTTCACCTATATGGCCCAATACGTAGTTGTCGCTCGATGCTATTTAAGTTGGCCCCCGTAAGCGCATCCAAGAGGACAAAACCATACACACCGCTCTCATGTGCTCTCGAAAGTGCTCCAGCACTCGGCAACGCTATCTTTTTTCTTTATTTAGCTCTCGGACGGTACATAGCGAAGCGTCTCGAAATTACTCACCATACACAGATGTGGGTTGACTCTGTGGCGCACGTGTAAATGATTATTGTCCTTTCTGGCTTTGGTTAATGGTTTTTTTTAAATGGCGTGCATTTTCATGGAAGAAAGTAACAAATATACCGTAACGAGTTACGCATAGACGAGTAGGTATACCTGCATTAATCATACAGCGTACAGGTTGTCGTACACACGTATGTATACACTAAAGCTTTTATATAACCACCCGTCCAGGAATGGAATGGGTCTTCGGTGCAATTGAGTAAGACAAGATATTATTTTCATTTGTACAATTTTCATCAAAAACATTGCGATCACTCGCATAGGGACACGCCCTTCCAGGAACATTGTTTCCTTTATTTACCTCGAAGCTGACAAGTACAAACGTTTGCCCTCGTTAATCACCTCCCGTTCGTTTAACGAATTTGGCGCTCGCCCTCGCGATGCGGCGTTATTTCACGCAATCATATACGACTATACTTCCTGCATTCTCGCTTACATTATCTTCTCTTTGGATTTCTAGAAAGTGACCACTTTAAACTTGCAACTCGAGGGAAATCTCAGTTGGGCTTCTGGAAATAGTTGAATTAACACAAAAATGATTTTTTTTTCTTTTCTTTTTCATGACGATGGTTTCATTCGTGTGAATTTTTTTTCTGTTGCAGCAGCAGCAATATGCCGCTTCCCAATATTACGATGGACTTGACGATGCCTGGAGCGGTAAATGGTGAGTATATATACACGAGAGAAAGATTGTTTTTGTTTTTTTTTTTTCATTTTTACGTCTCAGACTTATTGCATGATAAATTTTTCTTTTAAATTTATCCGTTTGTTTATAAAATAAATCATACAGGATGTACGACGCCGGAGATGATTCGTAGGGCGCGTTGAAATTATCCTATTTTTACAGGCTGACAAATGACCGGAACAGGGGAGTTGTAATTATCGATGAATTACTTCCTCTCGTTCATAATACCTACCATAGGGCACCTATGTTGTGCATCGACCGTAAAATCTGCGTACATAAATTCGATACGTCTCATTTGTTGCCGACATTTTATTAATCGGTTCCGCATCATCATGGTGCTTGGTCAAGAACAATCGGAACGTCTTGCACGTATTTTTTTTTTTTTCTTCATCTTGATTATATTTTTAAAAAAGGGGTATACACGGGTGGCGTTACTTGGATGGTATATTACTCGAGCTAACGAACCTCAGCGATATCGAAAAGTTTGACATTGTTTCCCCTCTGGATGACAAGTATAAAAATAGCGAACAAGCCTCAATGATGATTTATATACATTATTGATACACTGCTTATCTTTATTTTTTACGTAAATTACTTTGACAATCATCATCACCTTCTCTTTTCTGTACTTTTGAGACAATCCATATATATTTTGTTGACTAAGTAACCGTGCATCATTTCATTGTTCGAGAGGAAAAATTGTCTGTCAATTGCGGGTCACGTAATTCAAGTACACCATCGGCTCGACTCTCTCTTTTAACCCTCGTCGAGGTCAAAGTGATACGAGTCACACCGCGCCTCAGCCTCCCGTCGTTCACATCTCGTGTGTGTATTTTTACCCACTTACCTTCCATTGCGCGACAACGAGAACGAGGGTCGCAAAAAAATAAAAGTCTCGAAAAGTTTCCTCGATGAAGCCTCAATGAAACGCCGCTCTTCCCTCTCGTTTCCTGTTTCCATCCCCTTGTCGCCGTTGCCTCGGCGTCAGTCAACTCGCACGTTTCACAAATACTTGTTGAGAAGCAGAAACAAAGGGAGAAAAAAAAAAAGGTTAACCACGTCGGTCGAGCTAGTTGCCTTTTCTCAGAAAACGCCGTCGCCGCGCAAGAGCTTTCCGGTAACTTTGTCACTCACTTTTCGGTGACGACGCCGCGTCATCGCGACAGCGCAGCCCGAGCTTTGGCACCGCCAAACTCCCTCCGCGATTAATAGGTGATGCAGCGACGCACCGGTGGCCGAGTTAACTTAACATTATACATCGAGAAAATACGAGGAATCCCTCTCAGTTGTAATTTGCGCTGGTACGTGTTATTAATAAGCCTCGCGACTCCGTCTCTTTTTGGGTTGCTTTGAACATTTACTCCCTACGCCGCACTTTCTTGTTGTTGTTGTTGTTGTTGTTGTTGTTGTTTATCGAAGAGACATTTTTTTACTAAAATATCTATACGCACTCGATCTTTGTGCCAATTTTGGACCAACCGCCCGGTGTTGTGGATGGCATTTCTTTTCGCACGTATGTATATCGTCGGGGGGTTTCTTTTTTAAATCCTCAAAATAACAAAAACCACCGATTGTTCAGCATAAATGATGAATCTGTTGCGAAGGAAGTGCAAAAAGCGCGGAGGCGTAAATAATATATAGGCACACGACGCGCAGTCTGGTCCTGAAATGGTGTATTTATAGTGTATGTACCCAAGCTCGAGTGGATTCGCAGAATGGAGCGTCAAGTGCTATTGATGGTACAAAGACGGAAATGAAAGTCACTTTTCCTCGTCCAGCTTTTAATTCTCTTTTCGCTCGGTCCGCGTTGTCGGTGATGCAGTACAACGTGACGCAAGCACACGTCGAAAGAGGGAAGAAAACAATGATGAATAATCGTGCAGTCATCGAGGGAGATGAAAAAGTCATTGAACCGTTCATAGTCTAGTTTGGAACCTCTTCTGTACCACCGCACGAACCAACATATACTGCAGGTGGACGAGTAAATTTGGCTTTTGCCGAGGTCAATCTGTGCCAGACGCTCACGCCCGACATTCGGCCCAGGCCGGGAGACACACACCTCTCTCCTTCCGCGATCTTCGGCCGATCGATCTGCCCCTTCGGCTCTTTTGAGCTCTCCAAACGGGCACATGGAGCCTATAGCGTATGTACGTGGTTGATGGGACAGTTTGTCTATCGAAATAATTTTGCAAGCTCGGCCATACGCTGGGGGCTATTTTCGATGGTCGAGCTTGCGCTCCGGTTTGCTTGAAATTCGCGCCAAAGTACGCCCCGGGTGGAAAGGGGAGGATCGCGCGCGTTATGCAACATATCATCTCCAAATCACCGATTTCTTGACTTTCGTCTTTTGCACAACAGAGCATCCTTTTTTTTTCTGCTCGTCAAAACCCGGTGCTTCTATTGATTCGTTTTTCGGCGTCGGCCCGGTTTGACTCGAGCTTTGAGTCGCCCCGTATCCCCCCCGAGATGTGCAGCGTAAACACACGCTTTTTTTTCCTGTCCCGTTGGGACTGGACTCGGAGACGCAACACGACCGGCTAGACCGTCCCGTACGGGAATTCCAAGCGCGATGGATGGGTTATTCTGGACTCTGTCCGGATCTTGTCGGTAAATCGCGACGGTTATTTTCAGAGGGTCCCTTTTGTTTTGGATGACAATTTTCTTTTTTTTTTTTTCATCACAGGTGTGGCTGTTTGCCGTCGGCGCCCGGAGCTGAAATAGGTTATTGAGTTATGGTTTATCCATGTAGATATACGAAAATAATGCACTTTTTTCCGATGAATAATCGAAGCAGAGAGCAATATACTATTCGTCGCGAATCAGATGGTTTGTGGCACTCTGGCTTGAGGTGAGAAAATAATGTGTACTTGTCTATTTTCGGACCTTTCTCCCCCGGCAAATGGAAGGTGACGATGCACACGTGCACTTTACCGAAATAAAGGCAGTCTCGGCTTGTCTCATTTTCTAAATGTGTCATCTGTAAATAGCCCACAGGTAAAGGCGGGGTCCAGTTTGATCTTTTAGCCCTTCGTGATGTTGCAGGTGCAAACTAATGCGATATATACATATCCAGGTTCTTGTAGACTCGAAAATCGAGAAATATTTTTTACCCAAACGATATTCAAATGCATCCTATAGGTTTTTCACCAGATCAACAGAAATACTCGGGATGAAACAGATATACATGCACACCTACACTGTGCCTTCGCCATTTGGCTTGTCGTTTCTGCCAAGATGATCCATTACGTCGCAATGTACCATTCATCACTCGATGTTTTGAAATTGTTTGATTTATCTTTATATTTTCCAAACAACAAGTAAATACAAAAAAAAAGTATACCAAACGCAGGTGTGCGTTGTATATTATTTTCTCAATTTAGAGTTTAAAAGTTACAAAAATTGTTCTTTTTTTTCGATCGATACGTCAAACGTCACGAGTATAGAGATCTCGTTGTAACGAATCTCCCGCGGAAGATATTCAATATGGCTGTGTTACTTCACGGAGCACGCGCGCCGAGACGGTAACCTGTGCGCACTCGATCGGTTTCATAATATATAGCGTTGTACCTCGCGAATAAAGAAAAATATAAACTTCTCATCTTACTCCACTGCGTTAGATAACTTTTCGAGTGTGTACCACAACAATGGATCTTTTTTACCTTTGTCACCCAAGCTATGGTTCTCGTATACATTTACATTTTTATAAGTATATAATGTAGAATATGCACAGCGAATAAAGGATGATATTGAATTTTCCGGATTTATTGGTGTAGCGCAAACAAAATAAATTTTTTGTCCTTGTTGTCGATTTGTATATCCCTCGCATGAAAATCAAAGTGTATCGCGTGAATCACGACAGCTCGAGGACAGCGGATTCTGATTTATTGCCCCTCGAGTAGAAAATGTGATAATTTTTTTGATCTGGAAAATATAATTATTTTTTTTTTTAATTTTCCAAGAACGTGAAGCATTCAATCGTAATAACCAATAATAATGGTAAATTCGGTAATTGTCAGTCACATCGATAAATCATGTTACTCGCTTGGAAAAAATTCAATGAGCTTTCAGTTGGTGCTTCATTGCATCATATTACATGGTTCTTTTTTACATGGTAAAAATCATCAACATAATCCTCGTACTTTGCAACACTATAGAAATAAAAAAAAATACCGTACTTTCGTTTTGCTTCTTTTAAAAATAAAAAAAAGCTCGCAGTGATACTACACTTATTTTCGCAATCGCAACAAGTGAAAAACAAAAACAGCGCCAATTTCCAACAAAGAGTCCAAAGTGGTAAGTACATGAGCCAAAAAAAAGCGGCTACTCTCGTCCTCGCACATACCACCAATATGAACGGGTCAGTCTCGGAGCATCATCAGCGGGCACACACGCCTGCAGATATATAGAAATACCACGCGCGCAACCAATGGCCGTGTTAAAGGTGCACAGCTGTGCTCCGAACCAGCCAGTCTCGGCCGAGAGCCCGTGCCCGTCGCGTGCCACTTTTTACCCCAACGAGTCCACCACCTTATAAAACATCAAGAGAGCTCTTGCCCATCAGTTACTCACATCCACTGTCTCTCACTTGCGCGCGCGAAATCGTCACGTGGTAAAAGATGAAGTTTGACGCGGAGCTTGCGAGCCGAGCCAACTTCCTGCGGGGCGATGGGGTCCGGCGGCTCGACGGTATCGTCAATGATCTTCCCACCCATCGTCGACGGTCTGCCACTTTGCGTTAGAATCGACGAGCCGATCGGTTGTGCTCTTACCGATACCGCTGATGCCGATTCCATGGGTACGCTGTGTGTCTTTTGGGTTCATGTATATGCGGTAAAGGGTGAGGGTTGATGTGTACTGCGTGTTTTTTTTTTTTTACCAGCAAGAGAGTCGTGTTTGCTCAATTGGGTAATTGCGGACGTTGTTGCTAGCGCATATATGGTATACCTACGAGTAGGCATGTGTATATATATGCATCCAAGAGCTTTTATTGGCGCGTGAATTGCGCGCTCGTTGATTCTTCATTGACCGGTGATGGGCTATATTGTCGTCGTTTCGCTTAAAAAGCCGTTCCGTTACGTAACGATCAGACGCTCTTTCTCTGTATTTATGACGCTCTATGACCAGCTGCTTTTATAAAATTTGTGTGCCTGGTTGTCTCAAAAATTTGGAGCAATAGTGCCAACACGAGAGACGATTCGATTGTTTATTCCGAGATACCAGAGAATATTATAATATTTATTGTACCTGCAGGCAAAAAGCTTTGGATGCGCGCGCGCGCCAACTTCGTATATACAGTGTAAACTCGAGTAGTACATTGATGTATATATGTATTTATTCATTACCATTAGAGTCCGAGAGATGATTTATTTTTTGCTCGTTTGTTGGCTTGGGATCAAAATTTCGCAGCTGCATATAGATACGTGTATACTCACGTATATGGGCTGATTAAATTATATTGTTGTTGATTTACGTCGCGGTTTGCTCAGTCGTTTCCGAGTTCCTTTGTCGAGAGATTTATGCCGTTAAGTAATACACGAACGGTCGAGAAAGTGCGAGGGATTTCTTGGTAAATTTATTTATAACCGTCTAATTTAAAATATCAATAGTTACTCAATTCAATGGATTTTACAAGTAGTGCCATTATTTGCCATTATTGTTTTTTTGCTTCGTACGGTTTCAAGTTCAGATTTATTAAAACCAAATATCATAAAGGGGCAATCGTTTCAACAATTGTACGATTTAACGCGACACGATATCGCTTTTATTGTAGTTAAACTATTCCCCTTATCATTATTAACCTTCCGATCACTGGTTAGGCCAATATTCCCTTTCATGCATAAAAAATATATATACATTTTTTTATACTTTCATCTGATACTTAAGTATATTGGAAGCTTAATTAATAGATACCTAGTGGTAGGTACGTATAATCGTTATTCAACAATAATAAAATCGTCGATTTTTTAAACCAAGTTGAGTACTAAGTCTTTGTTAATCTAAGACATATTTAGAGCCCTTTTTTTCTAATATTATGCATTGGGATGGTAAAAATAACACATACTGATGACTTAGACTTTGTAAAAATGGACAAGAACTAATTCGTTGTATTCTGCTTACGTTCAGTTTTGATTTTTAACAATTTTTAAATCATCTCAACTTCTAATTTTGCTAAAAAACGAACGGCGCAACAAAGTATGGGAAACCATATCCTACCTCGTACTTACTTACCGAAACTATTTACGCGACAATCATCGTGTATTCCACGTATAAGCTAGTAATCGATTTATTTGGTGTTATTTAAAATACTTTAATAAAACATGTCCAAAAAAATGTCCAAGTGGTGAACCACTGCGTGTAAAGTTCACATGCGAAACAAATTATAATAAAATTGCCAAGATCCATCCGTCGACACGTTCAAGCCGTTCCTCCTAGATGTGACAGGCCGATCATTGTCGTGATTAACCAACGTGTTGTTTTTTTTTGTTTATTTTTGTTTTTTTAATCTTCCGCCTCTTGACGTCGGCGCTTGCGAATCAATTTCCCAACAACATGAGCGGCATCGCGTCAACTTTTATTTTTTCCTAGTACCTACCAACCGAAAATTCAATACCACGCAACCATGAACCGTTTACAATAGTAAACACTACGCAATGACACGACCCTCGTGTTTTTTTTTTTTTCAGACACGAACGTAAAGTCGCCGGGAAACTCGTCCTTTATGGAAGGCGGCCAAGGAATCTGGGCCCCCCGCCGGACCATGAAAGAGTACGAGGAGCAGATGAACTTCCTCCAAAAGGAGAACTTCAACCTGAAGTTGCGCATCTTCATGCTCGACGAGCGCTTGGGCATCAACTCCTCGGACCAGGAAGTCATGAAAAAGGCTCTCGATGGCAAAGTCGGTATCCCTGCCCCTCCCCTGCCCCGCATTTTTTTTTAAATTTTAATCTTTATTGTCCACGTGTTTGTTGGGCCAGATGGAGAACGAAAGCCTCAAGAAGGAGCTCATGGAGAAGCACGAGCTGCTCGTCCAAGCGGCCAGGGCCATGGAACTCGTGGTCGAGCAAAAGTCGTCGTTCGAGCGGCAACATTCCGAGGACCAGGAGGCTCTCGAGCAGGAACGCTCGAGGGCGGAGAAGCTCGAGAAGGGTACGACGAAACAATTTTCGCTGCTGCCTCAGCCTATTGATTGTTATTTTTAATTGTCCGTGTTTGTTTGTCCTTGCGCAGAGGTCGAGGAGTGTAAGGCGAAGCTGAACGACGCCGCGTACTTCGAGGAGACGTTCGGGATATCGCCGGAGGAGGCCTTGGAGTGCAAGGAAAAGCTGCAACAGGTCGAGGAGATCAAGGCATCGCTGGAGTCGGAATTGAAGCAGTTGTCGGCGAGCTTGGACGAGGAGAGGGAGTGGGCTCGAGAGGTGGAGAAAGAGCGGGACCAGTTGAGGATCAGGTTGGACGCGGAGGTCATATCCAAGGAGAAGTTGGCGCTCAAGAGGGACCGGGAGATGGAGGCGCTCAACGAGAGGATCAAGGAGCTCGAGGAGCAGGTCTTGAAGAAGGAGGGCTCGTGCCAGCAGCTGAGGAAGGATGTCGTCGAGAAGGACAAGGTGATCGGGGAAAAGAATGCCCTGCTGGAGGAGAAGAGCAGAGTTTACGAGGAAGTCTCGGCGGTCGCGGAGAAGCGAAAGAAGATGTTGGACCAGCAGAGGAGCTCCATCATCGCGATGGAGGCTTCTTTCACGGATCTCAACATCAAGCACCGCAATTTGCTGGCCAAGGTGGTGTATTTTTTTCCTGTATCCAATGACTTTTTTTTTTTTTTCTTTTGCATCGTTTAACGAATCTTTTGGCTTGGCCATTTGAGTAGTTTGACGGCTCGAGAGTCAACTCGTCGACGTTGTCGTTGGCCGACGAACAACTCTATGGTAAAACGTACGGCCTGTGCAGTCCCACGAGGAGTTGTGGCCCATTGGATCTGAGTTCCGAAAGAGCCAAGACACGCGATTTGTACGGTTATCTGGACAGGAGGGATCCTCAGGAAATGAAAAAAGTAGGTATCATTTTGGAATAGTTGGAGGCACGTGTGTTGGAACAATCGATGCGACGTGATGATTTTAGGAGCTGGAGGAAATGGAACGAGAGCTCAGGAAACAAGAGGAGTTGAAAAAACAGTTGAACCTGAAGCTGTACTACGCTCAGGAATCGGTTCAGGAGAGCGAAAAAAATTACAAAAAGTTACAAGTTGAGAATCGAAAAGCCCTCCAGATGATCCAGAGTTTCATGAAGCGTCACGAACAGTCGATGGAGCAGGAGGCCAAGAAAAACCGGAGGATCTTGGAGTTGGAAGCCGAGCTCTCGAAGCTGCGCAACGATTATTCGCGGGCCAGCAGGACCAGCATCACCAGCACGCCCGTGCGCAAGAAGCTCAGCGGCGAGTATCTCGAAAGTCCCGAGCGTGACAGCAGTGCCCAGGTTTGTCGTCGTTCTACAATACCTCAAACGATAAACAATCGTAACTAACGCTGAATCTTGTAACAATAGCTTTTGCATGCCACGATGAGTTTTCCTTTACTGTTCGTTGTATCATACTGCTGTTGAATTGCATCAGATAATACATACGAATGGGAAAGTTTGCATGAAGCTTACAAGCTACCTCGCGAGCAAGAGAATCAAAGAAGCTCAAGGCTTCTTTTCTTTCTAATTTCAGAAGCGCTGAATACGTGATGCTTATCGTTCATGCGTATTTTCTTTCTGCTCTGCTTCATCGCACACCCATTCATTCACACACGCACCTAGCTTAAGCTTGCACACCCAACGACGCTGGTAGCCAAATGGACAAAGTTGTTGCCAGACGACCGATTTGCGTTAATTTTACTTATTTATTTTATTTTTTTTTACCATTGTAATCCAAAATTTTACAGCGGCGAGATTTCTAACATAAAAAAAAAAAGAAGCATATTTTTTATCCAATCAAGTCGAGCGTCCGATTTCTATTTTCGACCAGTGTCCCGGAGCAATCGGTAGCGAATCGCGCGCTATCGGGGCCAATCCGAGCATCAGTCGACCCGACCGCTCCAAGGCGCGAATGCCGTGAATAACGTATAGCCACTTTATAAATACGCGCGCGCGGTGTATCTTTTCTCGGTGCGCCAAGGAGACCTCCATCGGCGAATTTTTCCATCTCGCTCTCTTGACAAAAACGAATTCGCGCAATGTGGAAGAAAAAGCCGTAAGTTGCTCCTTGTAATACTCAAAGAGAGTTGCGGCGAGCGAGTGCCATTTGCCGCTTGATTTGTGCACGAGGCAAAGGAGGTTGATTATCAATCTGCGGTTGTTGCACTTTCGCTAAGAAAAGCCTCCTCGGCCCGACTCTATTAATAAACATCGAAAAGAGGGAGAGAGAGAGAGACGGTCGGCGTCGCGACGCTTTTTGAGAGGCTCTGCCCGACGAGGGGAACTCGCGTGTGTAAATTCACTTCGACTCGAGCGAGCGATCGCCTCGAGTTTGCATCGACGAACGACGACTCGTGTGCTCGCGAATTCGACATTCATTGTTGTTTCGTTGCTTTAACTTTTGTTTTCCATACACGTGGGCAAAGACGACACCAGAACGGGCCTTTTTTCTTAAATTAAAAATCGAACCGTATCGCAACGAAAAAACGCGCCTTTGCAACTATAACGACGAAACAACGAAATTTTTTAACATAATAACTAACGTTCGATCTATTGATATTTAGCTTTTACTTTATCGACGCGACAATCGCTTTATAACTCGCTGTGGTCGTCGCTTTATACGATTAACAATCGAAACAGTTGAACTACGATTATAATTTATTTTACATACTTTGTTTTTTTTTTTTTTGTTTTTTTTGTTTTTTTTGTAACGACGCCTTATATTGTATATAAAATAGTGCTAGGCAGTGACTAATTATACATTGAAAATTTGGAATAAGATAAACGAGAGAATAATAGACTACGCTCATATATACACACACACAATGGCGATGCTTTCCTGCTTTTGCGCTTCAGAGCGAGTGGAGGTAGGTTGCAAGCTGTGTGTTTCATGCATCCAAATTTTTTGCTTTGTGTTTATGTGAAACATTTCTGTACAAATAAGCAAAACAAAGTTTTGGAGAGTGTGAGTGTAATTTTTGTATCACTTAACAGTATTGAGAGCGGCGATTTAACATTTTTGACGACGTTCAACACACTGGAATTGATTTGTTTCTTTTAGGAGCCAATCATTGTTACTCTTGTACCTCCAAGATGTTGGCAAAAGAAAGCGAAAAATTGATCGAAAATAACTAAAACGACTGCGACCGTTCAAGCTTTATTATTTTTATTTTTTTTTTTTTCTGTCCTCACCAATAACTTTCCAATGCTTTTGTACTGACATTTTGTAACTAGTTTTTTTTTTTTTTTTTTTTTTTTTTTTTTTCGTACTCTTTGTAAACGTATATTTTTGTTTTATCTACTTCTCTTTTCGCACTGCACGTATTTTCTATGCCTACGCCTTGAAATTGTAAATTTGTAAAATTGTGAAAACTAATGCTTGTCTGAATAAAAACGACTTTTATCGATAACCGACGTTAGTGTCTTGCGTTTTACTGATGCGTCGACAATGTATTGAATAATTTCATGTGCGCAGCAACGATTCGAGGAGCTGGAGAGCAAGATCAACGATCTCCGAGACCAAATCGATACCGTCAAGGCCGAAAAGAGTTTGCTGGAAAAACAAACGAAAATCGAGTCCGAGGTAAGCAGGGGAATCCCAATTACATGTATGCGTACAAATTATAAGCCCAAGGACTCCAAGGAGCCATCACGTCGCGCCGTTCATATACGAATTAAATAACAATTAGACAAACACGAAGCTGCACCGCGCGCACAGCACAAAAGAACACTCGGTCAATTTGCCGGCCGGCCGGGCTTGTCTTGTGAATCGCCGGCCCTATAAATAGCTTAATGTAAAGTTTCCGCCCCGTCGAGCGAGGAGGGGAAGGAGAAAAAAAAGAGAGACAGAGAGCGTTGACTTGTACACGTTTCAAATGGATGTAATTGAAGGCCCGAGCAGAGCATCGGCCCAGCAAACAACACGTGGGCGCAACGCGAGTCGTTGAGAGCACCACTTTTCTACTTTTCCCTCCCGCGAACAATTGATTCCTGCAATCGAGAAAAGGCGAGCGAAGGTGCAATAATATAATCCATGTCGTCTGTTCAGGAGTTGCGCGAGCGCTTGGAAAACAAAGACCTGAAAATCGAGTGTCTCGAGTGCGAGAAGCAGTCCATTGAGTGCGAGCTGCGGGACAAAGCCAACGAGTACGACAAGCTGAAGGAACAGTATAACAAGGACGAGCTGCGTCGCGAGCTCGAGGACAAGAACCGGCAGATCGAGGAGTTGAGCAAAGAGCTGCAGATCAAGACCCACAACCTCCAGCATTTGGTCAACACCGAGCTCTGGAGTAAGAACCGCGAGATCGCCAAGTTGCAGAACTACGTGACGGCCACGCAGTGCGGTGTTCCGGACAGTACGGACGCGAGTTTGCAGCTGAGGGCCCTGATCAAGGAGCTGAACGACATTGGCATCCAGGTGATGCTCACCGACGACATTGTCCAGCTGAACTACGCCGACTCGGAGACTAGCGTCGACGCGTCGACTCTCACCAGTTACATACACAAGCTGCTCGCTCAGAAGGCCGAGCTGGAGGAGAAGGTGGATTACCTCAAGTGGCTGAATGTCGTCTCGAAACCGAGCAGTCCCATTGGCGTTGCCGAGGTCGGTGGATGCGACTCCTCGGTCGAGAAGGACAGAAAGTACTGCGAGATGCTCAGGACACATTTGAAGGAGCTGGTCAAATTTATGAACGAGATGCTGAGGGAGCAGAGCGCCGAGGTCAAAAGCAAGCAGAAGAAGATAGTCTACGATGCCCTCATGAAGTCCAACATCCTCTCCGAGGACTTTATCAACACCCTCGACTGCATCAAGCCCGATGAGCTTGACTGCACCTCTGGATTAGACAAATCGGCGAGGAAGAGCAAATCCGACAACTTGATGGACTCGAAGAACCAGTTGTCCACTCCGTCGGATTCGGAGACTTTTTCGGAGCCCGATCGGACGGTTTCGCAAGCGCGTATGGGCCTACCGGAGATCAGGCGGAAATTCCAGGTGACTAGAGCGAGACTGTTCAAGTACGCAAAGAAACGCAGTGACTCCGAGGACTCGGGAGATTCGGCGCCAGGGCTGGCCAATTCTTGCCAGAGCGACGGGACCGACTGTGACGCCAATCGGCAGATACTCGAGCTCAAGGACATCAACAACTTTTTGTGCTCCGAGCTGAATTCCCTGAAAAAGGAGCTGATGAAGACGCTCGGCGACGACTTTGTCAACAACAAGCTGTCGATGCTGCTGACCAAGCTGGAAAAGTCGAGTCTCTACTGCGAGAAGCTGCAGAATACCTTGGAGAAGAAAATTCACGAGTGCCACTCCCTTAAGAAGGAGAGCAAGCAGAACAGCGCCAGGAAACTCCAGCTGGAAATTAAAATTCTGGAGATGGAGGGCAGGGCCCTCGAGCTGACCAAGCAGAAGGGAGAGCTGTTGCAGTTCAAAGAGACGGTGGATAAGAAAACCGCTGACATGATCTTTGTGTTTAACAAAGATAACGAAGTGGTAAATTTCGAATGGGGACTAATTTTTTATTTTTCGGTTGACTCTTGCTGTAACTTGGTTTTTTTTTTTTTTTTTTTTTTTTTCGTTTTGACGTATTTTGTTTTATCAGTGACTAAAAAGATTTTTTTTTCCAATATTAGTACACGATCCAAGAAAATTTTTTTTCCATTCATGGCTAAAAAAATTATTTGACGCATTAAGTAACAGCTTTTTAAGTGCAGTTAATCATTTCAATTTAATAATTTAGTTTGCATTACAACTAATGACGTTAACGAATTCTTGAATTGCTCGAAGGTATTCCAAAAAGTAATTTTAAACTTTTTTTNGTACGTTTGGTTTTTTTTTTTTTTTTTTTGTTTTTCGTTTTGTTTTTCTAGATGAGGCTGAAAATTAAACAGTTGGAGGATGAGATTGCAAAATCGAATGCGATGGTTTCTAAGCTCACGACAGATTTGGACCAGTTAACCATGACGAACAGTCAAATTGTGGTAGAAAATACCCAGCTAACAAACGACAAACTCAGGCTTGAGCAAGATCTGAGAAAATCGGAGAATCATTACGGCGTCACAGTTCGTAATCTTCAAGACAAATTTCACAAGGAGGTAAGCGACATGTGCATTGTTGACATTACCATCATATTATTTCTCGCAATGTGCGATTCTGCAACGCCACAATGGTTATGTGTGTAACAGGTAACCGACTTGAATCAAGCCAACGAATCTCATCGAGCCCGATTGCAAGAGCTCGAGGCGACAAACAAGGAACTGCGAAGACACGTGATTGTGTGCGAGGCGAGTGATTCTGCTCCAAGCTCCAGCGGAATATCCTCGATTCCACCAGACGTCGGGGCAAAGTCGATCCGTGACGATATCCTCGGCGAATACGACGCTTACAACGTACGTATGAAAGTCAACTACTAATCACACTTATGTTTTGCATGTTAATGGAGTGTTTTTTTTATTATTATTGTAGGGCGTCCAAAATTGGTTGCCTTTGACTTACCAAACGTCGAGTGGGCGCAGCAAGTCCAGCTGTTCTCCGGATCTCGGCATTGAAAGCGACACCGCGGGTACATCGTCAAAACCGTACGAAAAATCCCTAAAGATCACAGAGTCCATGAACAATTTGCTCAGCGATGACGAAAGTAATTATATTCACCACGTGATTATTGCCCTCGATTTTATTAGATTTATAGTGTGTTCATAGCCCCTCTCGAATAGTGCGACAGAGTTTGGTTACACTTGTGTGCTACTGATAATTGGCTACACAGCAGTACAATAAAGCGCTGTCTCGAGAGTTGGACAATACCCATTTTACATTGGTAAACCAATGATTCTGGCTTCGACCTTTCACATTGCTGAGCTTGATGCACAGAAATGCCGAGCACGTTACCTATAATCTGTCAAAAGAACTATTTTCAATTTTGCGAGTTTACCACTATGAACACACTATCATAAACACCACCTTTTGTGAATTGAGACACGGAATACTTCACCGCCAACTTTTTTCTATTTTTATAGGTGGGCTTTTATATTATAGTATGTATCAAACTCCAATTCGTTGATTGTTAAAAGCTTTTGGTAGGCTAATGTCGCGAGCTGCGTATAAGCTACAGCACGCTAATTTTATTACGTCACAACTATCGTTTCGATGTTCCATAGTTCATTGTACGCTGTATAACACGTGTCATGCATTGTTGCATGATCATTGTAATAACATCACTCATTACTTTCAATTTTACTTTTCCTCAGTACAACCTACTGTTCGCGAAAATCATAGAACTTTTGGTTAAATATTATCAGACAAAAATAACGTAAAATCCAAGCATCCACGTGTTCAGTAGTAGCTCATTGCATGCCGATTAAGATTCATGTCAATTATTTATTCCAACAATTTTCAAACCTTTTGAAAATACTCGTCAGTGTTGCATCATTTTATTCACAGCGCTACACGTGTATAATATTAATTTTACCGCTTTGCCACATAATAAAGAAAAATGCAATGATCGTACAGTACAAAGTAACAGTTGAATGAAAATAGTATTCAGCCATAATTTTTTCGTGTAGAACTATTACGAACCATTTTTTTTCGATAGATTAAGGAATGATGAATGCTTGCTAAAAAATTTCAACTACTTATTTTCGTACGCAAATATCATTTCCTTCTCGTTGATAACTTAAAAATAATCGTTTATTTCCGTGTTCAGGTCTCGAGGAAGTGCGAGCGCTTAAAAACGAGAACGCCGCGCTCAGGAGGAGGTTGATGAGAACAAAGCGAGCTCTGGAGGACACGTTTCATTATTTGTCGGCTTCCAACAAGAACAAGAGAAGCGTCGAAAAAGCCATCACGATACAGCTGATGATCACAAAAAACATACTCAAGAAGACGAGAAACTACGAAGAAACGCAACCTCGCGACAATTGAGGATTTAACAGTCGAAACCGAAAAAAAAAGAAAGTTGCAGATTGCGCGGTTGCATTATTGGTTGCTCTTACGCGTTGAATAAGCAACGACGACGACAACGACCACGACCACTTACCGATGGGGTATTATCTTTTTTATGTACTCTATTCTCGAATCTATGACTGTATTCATTTCAAACACGTGTTCCACGCTCCTCGACCACCTGCCCGTTGTCGTTGGCACGTGATTACTCTATATATTTATGTCGGTTGACATAATCAACTCAAGTGAACTGGTTACACGTACAATTCTCAGCAGCAGAGATTTCGTATTCTTATATTTATAGAACCTATTTTTACAAGATTAAACGAAAATTTTTCTAAAATAAGACGACGAAAAAAAAAAAAAAAAAGAAAAAAAATATTTACAAACTACATCAATTGCTATTACAGATGTCAATTGAAGATGTACATTGGACTTTATATGTATATATTTATATTATGTATTTCCATGAATTGAATGACGATTTGTTCTTAAAATTTTTGTAGTACATTCGACTTGTTCTTATTTTATCTACGATAGTGTATAGGTACTGATTTCTTTCCATGGATTATTATTTAACCACGTACCCCTTACGTGTTTTGTTGATTTGAAGCATCTTAAGAAACAAAGATTTTCCAAGATTGTATATAAATTACAATTTACCAAAAGAAGAATGCATCTGTAAATAAATCTTTAATAAAGTACCATTCATTCATTGAATTATAATTTGGAGTTGTATTTCCTTGTCCTGAAATGTGAGTGTAAAAAATTATAAATACTATATTGGGGATAGGGAATAATGAATCAACAACGACATACGCATGTATATACCTGATTATGATAAATCTTTATTATCACTGATTGATGACTAGATAATATAAAGATCCGTAATAACTGATTTCGATCAAGACACGAATATTTGGACTATTCATTGCCTACTAGGTATTAATACATTATATTCATCATAGCAATCTTTTTATTTCGAATCTTTTAAAACGATTTCTCTTTTTACTTATTCACTCATATAAATTGAATTGAATGTTGTTTCTTCTTCTTCTTCTTTTTTTTTTTTTTCCTCTTACCATTACTTATACTTATCCTTTGTGCACAAGTTCCGTTTGAACATGAAAATCACACGTATACATCACTCGATGCAATTGCAATAAGTTTTGTTTTTCTCGATCAAATGATTTTGTGCATTTATAAATGCTCCATACCAACAATCAAATTCGAATAAATTTCGTTTGTCAAACAATGGTGTAGGTATCTCAAAAATTTAATTATCGTTGCGATAATACACTACTTTGACATACACAGTTATGTATACGTTGCAAATTGTGTACACACGAGAGTATGCACACACTAGCGAATTAGCTTCGTACTTTCCTTTTTCTTTATCTTTACACAAATCCCTGTAATCCTATGTATAGTACTTCCAGTGTAAAGTAAAATTTGTGGGTGAAGGAAAGAAAAAAAAACCCAAAATCGCATGATATATCTATTTGTTTCGTGACGATAAAATCGGCTCTAAAGCTGAAGTGTATATATATTTACAAGTGACGCTTACATTCTAAATATGGCGGATGAAGACAACACGAAGTCGCTGCGATTACATTCTATAAGTATACTCCTCGACTTTTGCGTAATTTACATCTTTATCAAGCATGAGTATTGGTTTATTTTATTTTATTTTATTTTTTATTTTTTATACACAAATGAAAAATTGGCGCTAAACGAGGGTATCAAAAATCGCTTGAAAAATTTGTACATAAAATCAATTCGCAGCAACAAGAAAAAGAAAAAAAAAAGTAAACTCTGCCATCGAAGCCCCTCTGATATCTTTCGAAATAATCGTTTATCGCGTTAACGATAAAAAAAATGTATATATATCCAATAATGGATTTTGTGATCGACACTTTGGAAATCACCGAGTGGTCAATCAATTTTCAATATTGACGTATATATTTATATTAACGTGTGCACTATACAAGCAGGTGTGTGCGGGTGTACTGGCATATTATATTTATATTCTTCGATCACTCGACAAAGAAGGGACGGCGTCAAACGATCCGACTCGAAAGCATCTTTGTCCCTCGTGCTCCCCTCTGATCATTACAACAATTTATAATATAATCACGCCCAATATACATACATGTTGTATCCACTCCGCGGGAGAAAATTTACTTGTTGATCAACCATACGCTGTAAAATCCAACTGCGTCAAAGTACACGTTTTAAGCGTTAGTTGAATTTTCGGTTTTTTGCAAAATGCATTATAATATTCTTGATAAATGTATCAAGAACAATCGAATCGATGCTTCGTAAACTGCTGCACCTATTCTTTTGAACCAAACAATTTTTTTTCTCCAAAGATTGACGTACGAAGGCTGTGGAGAGTAAAATATTTCTGTCACAGATTGTACATAATATACTTGTGAGCGTTTAAAGTCTGTGACAGCCAAGTTTTTCAACTCCACAGCTTTCCTAAATTGGTTTTTCTCATTCAAAAGTAATTATTCTGGTAAAACTGGTTAACCACTTGGTGAACCACACTTTAAAGTTGTACGTTAACACGCTTGGATTTACAGTGTAAAGACGCAAGTATAGCCAAGACGCGTTACGTACAGTACAGCACTTGATTATTTTTTTTGTTTTTTACATCGAGCTTGTGATGGTTGCGTGTGTTTATACAGCGAGGAATACGTGGCATGTGTACACCCTGGGAAAGAAAAATATCTCGCGTTTATTTGTTATACTTTTGCGTTGCACGTTTCATATATGGACACTCGAGAGTCGAAAAAAGTGCGCTGTACTCGGTGCAAACGTACACGTATATATATAAATAACCGATACCCCATCCTCGTTTGCACATTTGTTGTTTTACGATTCGAAAACTACGTGTACCGTAAAATTGTTTTTTCAGCGACCCACAAAGAGTTCATGAACCCCGGCGCGCGTGAATTTATATTATATTTACTCTGCTAATAGCAAATCCGGCGAATTTGCTCGCGCTCGTGTGTGTGTGTCCGTGCGTATGTAATTCAAAATACGTCGCATATCATGTATACACGTGTATACGTATTGTATAATCAGAGTGGGCCGTTATCTTCCCTAAATATACAAGTTACACGTAAGTATCGCTAATGTGGGCGTAATATGTACAGGTGACGACGATGCCTAATTGTTTCACACGTATGTATATATATATATATATATATGCATATTATTTACGTACGAAAGAGAAACAGTGTGTTAGACGAACGCATGGGACTTTAGTTTCTCCTTGTCTTAATTTCTTTCCCCCATGTGTTATATTGCGTACATATATGTATATATGATCTAGGTATGACGTAATTATGTATATACGAGTAGTTGTTTGGGAAGCGAGTAGGACTTGATCCCTCTCGTCCCGGTACTGTACAGGCTCCTCTCCGAATGCCGGTGCTGCCGGTGGCTGTGCACCCACCGCACGATCGGACGCACTTTTGTACGGTAGCTGAAGTACGGCAAAGCTGAATGATACCATGAACCATCGGCGCTGTTTTTCTCCGCAGGGCTCGGGTGCAGGCCACACTAGCTATTAGCGACGCCATCGGCCAAACGGAGCCGTCGACTATGCTCGGGAGCAGCACCGGCGCGAGTACCTCCCCAATGTCGTCGCCAAAAACGCAGAAACGAACAGTAAGGGGTAGTCGAAGAAAACGGAGGATGATAACAATCACGATGATGATGATGACGACAACAACATAAAGCAAAACATGATGGTGGAGAAGCAGGGCCGCTCCGCTGGGCTATATGGGGTAGCGTGGGTGGTGCGGGTGGTGCGGGGGATGCGGGGGATGCGCGGGCGGTGGCTCGCCGAGCCACGAGTCGGGCGAGGGTGGAAAGTCGGGGTAACCACCGCCGGCTCCTCCGCTGCCACCACCACCACCACCGCTGTTGGGTGCGTTGCTACCTCCCCCGCCGCCGCTCGATTCGTTGCTCAGGTCGGAGGTCGGACCGGCCACCATTCCGCCGGGGCCACCTGCCAAAGGGCAAATCGTTTTTACCCGATTATTACGTTTTAATGGTTTTTTCATTTTTACGGGTTTTGCATGGTGTTGTGAGGGGGAGGTTTCGTCACAGGCTCCTCCCCCGTTTGTGTCATTTTGTTGGGTGGACCGTTAAATCGTTCGAGGCTCGAAATACATGTTTACCAAAAAAAAAAAAAAAAAAAAAAAATTTTGTGGAAAAGAAAAGCTCTCGGTGGAAATATGATAAATAATAACTAAGCACTCGAATTTCCATTTGTTATTTTAAATTTTATAATCCGATTCGTCAGTAGTTGGAATAGAGGTACGCTTTTTGTTGTTGTGAAAGTAAACGACAAACAATGTCCGAACGGGTCTCCTCCTCGGATGAAAGTGTTGTTGTGTATGAAATTATATGGGCAAAGTAGAGGTATACTTACCAAGGGTCGTGTAAACGGAGAGTCCAGCGTCCGGGGGGTAGGGGAACTGGGGCGGCAACGAGGGCGACCTCGAGGTCGACAGGTAGGGCGGCGTCGCCGCGCCCAAGTAACCCCGGGGTGGACCACCCCCGCCTCCGGGACTCGCGCCCTCGTCCAGGCCCATGTTAACCACAGTGCCGTAGCTGTCGTTGCTCAAATCTATACCGGTACAATGCAATTATGATTTTTCATCCAAGATAATTGGTATAATATCGAAACAATTCACGAGCAACGAAATTTACAATATCAACCATCGAGGGTTTCGGTACGCGCGAGGAGCTCTCAAGCTAACGAAGCAACTCGCATGCGATGAACCAGCAAGCGTTATTCGGCCAATCATGAAAATTCTCGACCAAAGCGTACGTGTGTATAATATACATAAAGTAAAAAAAAAACAAAGCTGCATTAGCTGATACATCAGACGGGCGTCATCTCTATTTATGTACGTTACTGCTTCGACGCGATAATGTGTTGTTCGATGATAAAGCGTCACGAACGGGAAAGATTGCCATCGGCCCCGTGTGAATAATTACCGCTCGCGTGCGCGCCCCCCGTCAACCGTGTCCATTTTCTTTTTCGTCCCCATCGGTTAATTCATTACCGCGAGTGCCGCGCCAAATTGCTCCATCACTTATGCAAGATGCAATTACAACGTACATGTTTTTCCTATGTAATTTAAAGTGAAACGTGATTTTTTAATTTTTTTTATTTAAACAATATCACATTTCCACGTTGTTTCCTTTCGATACAGCTCGGGTCGAATTAAGTGAATGAAAAAAAAAAGAAAAAGACTCTTTGCCGGCGAGCCGTGAATAATACAACGGGCAATGTATAGGTGTACCCTATATAATAGGTGGGGTACAAGGTACAACATGTACCTTCGGAAAACAAAGGCGTAAAAGCTCGGGAGGGGGCAATATTTCCTGAAATCTCGGACCCCCGCGAAAACTCCGGCGCAGGTGCACTTACAGCAGCCGACCGATTCGCTGAATAATTGAGCGAGGGTCGGGCGTCCCTTCGCCTCGCGGCAAAACTTTGGCGAAAATTCACCGCCTATCAATTACACGGCCGTGATTTTGCCCGTTGGGCTATTATTTTACAACAAAAAGTCGCCTTACCGTGATGCCCGAACGTGGAGTCGAGGTCGACCTTGAGCTCGTCCTTGTCGAGCAGCTTGTCGTGCCGGGGCGAGTGGCCACCCCCGCCTTTCATGTTGCGGAAGTACTGCGTCCACCTCGTCCGCCCGGCGTCCTTCTTCAGCCTCTTCTCCTTCGCCCTCCTGCGCACCCATTGGGTTATGAAGGGGGAAAAAAAAAAAAAAAAAAAAAAAAAAAAAAATTACATCTGATCGAGCTGAATTTGATACGTATTTTAATTACTACAATACCTACCTTTATTCTAAATTTTAGCTCTCAATATTAATTTGAACGCAAGTTATTGAATTACGAAAATAAGTCATAAAATGGTGATTTTCTTGAAATTGGTAAAAAAACGGATCCACCTATTTATACCATACGTGGCTTTTTGTTTTGAAATCGTGCATCTGTTTACTTTAGCAGAGAAACTTTTCTATGTATTATTAATATTTATTTATTCATCAATAATTTTTTACTTTAACAATTAACAAATAATTGTTTATACAACTTTTTCATATTTTTTCAAAATTTTTAAAAATTAAAAAAAAATCTTTTGTACTGTACCAGTACAACAACTACTTTTTATTGTGTTTTATTCTTTCACAATTTTGTCATTCGTGATTGAAGTCATTTTTTCATTTAAGGACGTTCACTCAGTTACCGGGGGAGAAGTTCAGAGAAGTGAGAGGAGTACAAATATGTGCAGTAAAACTGGCAATTGTTTTTCTAATGTTAATATACTCACATACATGCTTCTAAGCATACTTGATCCCCTCTTTTTAAACTTATTAAAAAATCAACTTGTGAATCTATTTTAAAATTTGATAGGTTTACTTATCTTTAAGTAATGTTTTACCCCAAAAACATTGGGAGATTTCTGCAGATAATATAAATGCAATTTTATGTGATTTTTGCTAAGGTTACATGTAAAATTGTAATTTTTGAAAATTAAACGTATAATAAAAAAGGGTACAGTTAAGACATCTGCAACTTATTAAGAGTACTTTTTCTACTATTTCAAATACATGTTTGATGTAAATAATACCTTTTGAAAAAAAACTATGTGTGATAAACGTCTTCAAGGAACGTTAACTGGCATGTAATACTACCCTATTGAAGAAAGCGGTACCGCAGGATGGTTTATTTTAATTTTTTAGATACAATTATATTTTGGATGTTTAATATGGGCTAAGAATAAGTGTGTGAGTGTATGTGATAGATGTGAGCGTGACGTTGGAAATGTAATCAGCGTAGGTCCTCGAAATAATCGGAGGATTCAATGAAAACGTGCAGTCTTGTACTGGCCAGCCTATATATTGTTGATCTTGTATTGTGCTGTAAAATGTTGTTCATAATGGTTGATTTATTAAATATCAAAATATTATTCAAAACTGTTACGTTCAAGCAAAAAATGCTTGACGAACGCGGGGATCTTAATATCGATTGTTCGGGAATTACTGAGGATCAATAAACTGTTGAGTGGTAGTAGTTTAAATAGCGTTTATTAAATAGCGTATGTATTTACAATAGCGGTTAGCGAAGCTCAGAGCACAATTAATGTTGGCTCTTTGCTTGTTAGGACGTATCTGGTTTATTACAATAATAGCGGAGAGAATAACTAAAGTTAACTATACAAATATACACTGTAGTCGTCATATGAGTCAGAGTAGAAAAATAGATAAGATAAGAAAATGTAAGTTCTGAAATTAAAGTATGTATAAATGTAATGTGGAAGTTATAAAATTGATAAGTGTTACTTTTAGATGATAAAGCAAAGATAAAGTTATTACAATTCTAGGAAATATAACTATTGCATTTAACGTATTGTGCTAAAGAAAATTAGAAAATGAAGAGAGAATTAAAAGTTCACGATTGGCGTGAACATACCACCCGCCATTTTATTATGAAAAAATAAAATTATGATGCGTCGATGTTCTGGCAAAATTCGATGATAGAGTTGATGGCAGCTTAGATGGCTCGATCGGCCCGGATAAAATCCAACCCAATGCAGTCTGCTGAGCGATGGGTGCATCGGGACGCTGTGGTTGACGAAGACCTGGTCGTATTATTTGGGCGTACACTGCAGCGCCTAGTAGCAGTTCAATTGGTTCACTAGATGGTGAATCCAAACGGTCGGCAAGCTGCAGGTCGCGTAGATGAGGCCATCCGTCGGTAGGCCGATGCACTCGAGGTCGATATGACGTGACCGCCTTGAGCAGAAGCACATCCACATCAAGAGAGTAGGGAGCACATCGAGACTTGACGGTGATCCTGCTTCGGCCAAGGGCAGCTGTAGGATGAACACCACCTACTCCATCGATCGATACACAAGCAGGGCTGCGTGGAAGCTGCAGTGAGTTGGCCAAGCGTTGCGACAGGAACGAGCACTGTGATCCTTGATCGATCAACGCTCGAACACAATGTTCCTGGCCATCCGCCCCCACCAGACTGACCCATGCTGTGGGTAGCAATGTTGGCGCAAAAGATGTTGTTTCGCTTACCAAAACGTTGAGAGGCTCGTCGCATC